AGAATGAAGATAACACTGACAGATTTTGTTTTAGAAACCATGGCATCTAAAGTTACAAGTTATGACTTGATCTTGACTTCCGTTGGCTTCAAGCCCGCTATGAAAAGTCTGTGGGATGGAATTTTCAGGTTACTGTTTGCCACATCTAGCACGAGAGCTTCTGTTTAATCCTTCATATAATCGCCAGATGCTGTCCGCCGTGCAAGTGGCAGCTATATGTCAAATTTAACACCACGTACACCATCGCAAACGGGCTTGCACTGAGTAAACTAACATCGCTACTCATAAAAAGACTGGTATTACTATTAACATGACATATGCATATAATAAGGCACAGTATATGTCAAAAGCATCAGTGTAATATCAGACAGCACCCGTGAGAACAGCACAGTTATACCGTTAACAGATTCATTCATGTCAAGCAGTGCGTGCAGGGCCGGTGAGCGTTCCGTGTATCTTTTAGTCACTCAGTTATGTTATAAAAATCTATTCTCTTGTGGTAATGGGATTTCGTTGAGACATTTTCCTTACGCTTGCATATATATATATATATATATATATATTTATTTATTTATTTATTTATTTATTTATTTATTTTATTTTTATTTTTGCTTGTTAGTTTGTTTACTGTTGATTTCAAATGCAATAAATATGTTTGTATAACACTTGAAGTAACGGTGCTTATAATTTGTGGGTGCAACTAAATTTTGGCTGATGTGCCTACATTTTTAAAGTTAGGAGCACCGGTACTACCAAGCAAAAAGGTTCATTTCGAGCTTTGTAAAATTAGCTATATGTCCTCATTTTCCTTCGGCTTCGTCCCTTTATTTATCAGGGTTCACCACAGAGGACTTTACACAGCGGATGCCTGTCCAGCTGCAACCCAGCACTGGGAAACAACCATACACACTCATTCACACACACTCATACACTACTGACAATTTAGTTTATTCAATTCACCTGTAGTGCATGTGTTTCCCTGAGGAAACCCACGCCAACAATGGTAGAACATGCAAACTCCACATAGAAATGCCAGTGACCTTCTTACTGTGAGGCGACAGTGTTAACCACTAAGCCAGTGTGTCACCCAAAATTTGCAATATTTTAAAGGTAACTGATGATGTGTGTGTGCAAATACATACAGTACATGTTTCCATTGTGTGATAGTCCATCCCAGATGCCAGAGAAGTCCACAGCGCTTCTGGACACTGTTAACATAGAGCTGTCTTTTTTCATAGTACAGTTTTAACTGTCATTTGTGAATGTAACTTAAAAAAAAAGTCAGAATTTGCCAGGGGTATAAATAATTTCGGGCTTCACTATATACGCCGTGACGCAGTTGGTAGTGCTGTCGCCTCACTGCAAGAATTGTCACTGGTTTGAGCCTCGGCTGGCTCAGTTTGCATTTCTGTATGGAGTTTGCATGTTTTCCCCGCGTTTGCGTGGGTTTCCTCCAGGTGCTCCGGTTTCCCCCACAGTCCAAAGACGTGGTACAGGTAGGCTAAATTGTCCATAGTGAATGAGTGTGTGTGGATGTTTCCTAGAAATGGGTTGCAGCTGGAATGGTATCCGCAGCGTAAAACATATGCTGGATAAGTTGGTGGTTCATTCCGCTGTGGCGACCCCAGATTAATAAAGGGACTAAGCCGAAAAGAATATGAGTGAATGAATGTACACTCTATTATTAATAATGTATTACTAGTGGATAAGAAATTATATAATACACAAATATACCATAATAATAGTCATGCATATATAATGATTATTAAAAATTACCGGGCTTAGTTTTCATGTATGAATCTTAAATCTGACCCTGATTTTCATGTTTTTTGTGTTGTGGTTTGTTTGTCAGGTCTCAGCTCTGGCCTTAAATGCCAGCTCCACAGTGCTGGCATCGGCTCAGACGGGCACAAACAGCCTGATTCGTCTGTGGAGTTACAGCGCAGGAGTGTGTCAAACCATCATTCCTACACACACACATGCTCTCAATCTGCTTAGGTACAACAAACACACCCACATGCACAACACAGATCCGACACTACATTTCTCAGAGTCCATCAGCTGATGGTGTTGATCTTGTTGTTTCAGTTTCTCTCACAGCGGAGGAGTGCTTTGTGGTGTAGGGAAAGACAGTCATAACAAAACCGTGAGTGTTCTGCATGTGAAGAACTGTATTTAGTATTTACTAGTTTTTATTGCACTGTATTTATTTACTAGGTTTTTTTTACACTATAGGCCAAAAGTTTTAGAACAGTAACATTTGCCATGTTTTAAAGTTTCTACTGCTCACCAAGCCTGCATTTAAAATAGCTGTTTTTTATTTGAATATATTTTAAAATGTAACTTATTTTGTTATTTTAAAGTAGATTTTTTACTATTACTGTAGTCACATGATCCTTTAAAAATCATCCTAATATTCTGATTTGCTGGTCAAGAAATGTTTCTTCTTCAGTTTTTTAAAAATAAATATTATTGTTTTTGTTGTTGTTGTTGTCAATATTTATTAACACAAGTATTTCTTCAGGACTATTTAAGGAATAGAAAGATCCATAATTCAGCATTTATCTAAAACATAAAGCTTTGTACTTTATAACATTATTTTATCATCATATCATATACATTATATATTATAACGTCATTGTAATATTATACACAATACTATGTAAAAGCTTGGAGTCAGTAAGCTTTTAAAAAAATTGGTAAAGAAATTATTTTAAAAATAGTTTTATTTAGTAAAGATACTTTTAATTGGTCTAAAATGATGATAAATGCATGTAGAGTTTCACTAAAATATCTATTTCAGATAAATGCTGGTGTTTAAAACTTACTTTTCATCAAAGAAAGATTTAAAAATTTGCTTTAAATGTGGTTACGACTTCTTGATGTGAATCTAGGGACTGAAGTGGTAACATTTATGTTGTGACAATTTTGTGTAATACGGGAAGAAGAAAATCTAACATCAACCAAATTACTGGCAATAAGAAAATAATTTATTATACAAAAATCAAAGATAAACAGAAAATAGTTATAATAAAGAATAATAATATAGAGAACAACAAATAACCACAAAAGGTAAATTATATACAATTTATACCAACTTAATAATCCAAAAAACATTAAACCCCGCAGGGGACGAGGACAAAAGTGGTGCTGAAAGAAAAGAAAATAGCAAAACCAAAAATCAAACAAACTCCGTATAACCCTTTTACCTAACCGAAAACAAAATAATTGAAAGTAAGTCTTCAGCGTTTGCACGCCCTAACTTACATACTCTAATCTTAAACAAACAGAAACATACAAAGACAATGCTCACTCCTAAACCTGGTGTGTCCATACCAGGGGTTCTCAACTGGTTTGGCCATGGGACCCACATTTTTACATGGCCATCAAGCCGCGACCCAAATTTTTAGGAAGTATAATACAATTTTAGGAATTATACTTAATTTGTATTTTTTTGTTAACATAAACAATTAGTGACAGAAAAACCATAAGAAATTCACCAAGACTTAGAAATAAACACTATTTTATTGCTGTCATTTAACAAAATGGATCAAATTACAGAAATATTACAAAGTAAAAAGGACAAATACTGTTAATAAACTGGTAATAAAACATATTTTCTGGTTTCTAAATGTTTTAATTTAGAAGGTTTCATGCTCTCTTATGAGATCACCTCACTACATATGACACTGAGGCTTTAAGTCTTCTTTGTCGTCAATATATATATATATATATATATATATATATATATATATATATATATATATATATAGCCATACTTTACATATTCGGGGTCATACTTGCGCTTCGACATGAAATTTCACATGTCAAATGGTAGGGTTGTTACGCACGCATTTTAAAATAAAAGTCTGTTTTTTTTTGTTTTTTTTTGACCACACACTGCACGACCTACTGAAAATGTTCCTGCGACCCACTTTTGGGTCGCGACTCACCAGTTGAGAAACACTGGTCTATACACAGGTTCGCTAGGTGTTGTAAGGATGTAAGTCACGTGACATTTACATCTCTAAATCCCCTGGGGAAAACAAAGAGTATCAACAAACGATCTCAAATGAAGAATAAAAAGAAAATTAATGAAAATGAACAATTTGGCAATAACAACTAGCAAAATAAAGTACTAAAACAAAAGAAATAATGAGAGGCAAAAGGGAAAAGCCTCTGTCCGGCGTCCCACTCGTCGTCCTTTTAAAAAACCTGGCAACCACTCAGATTGGCCGCAAAAGCCGCCTTGTCACCAAAGATAATGAACATTGACCGATCCTACTGCCAATAACAATCTGAGGGGGTTGAACCTGTGAAACCGAAAGAGAGAGGAGCGAGAGAACTAATGCCTGTGTGTGTACGCAAGAGTAATAGAGAGATACACACACGCAGAATTCCCGGAATGTAAGAAAAGTAAAACAATTTACAAATTGCTTTGTTCTTTGCTGTGCATCACGTAATTGCAGGCTTCATGAGCAAAAAATATTAAAAATCTTACTGTTCTAAAACTTGGTAGTGTACAGTATGTTTGTGTTAATTGTTGAATTGCTGCTTTAGACGGTGGTGCTGTGGAACACTCGGCATGTGACAGATGGCAGTGTGGTTCCAGTCCTAGCTAAAGCACACACAGATGTGGACATCCAGACTATCAAGATTGCATTCTTTGATGATACACGGTGAACATACATGCTTGTTCAGCAAAATCACAAACAGTCAAAACAATGTGGGATTTTTCTTTGATGTAAACATATGTACAATCCTTCTCCTTATAAACAGTGTCACTAGCTAATGCTATTATGAGGATAGTTCACCTAAAAATGTACAGTTGCTGTTAATTTACTTAAGATTTTATTAGCTGAAAGCTTGGTGATTGACGATTCATGTAGTTTTAGATTACAGCACCATGTGTAATTTTTTTCGCCACTAGAGGGCGTGTATTCACAACAAACAAAGGTGTAGTTTCAGTGTTTCCTCTAGGATTTTTTCCAGCTGTGGCGGCAGACTCTGTTGGGCATTTTACACAGATCTACCTCTACATGTGGCGTTATTTCATTGACAAATGTCGTGGGCGCAGTATTAAGTCGAGTTCGCATTCATGTAATAGCCTATGAGCATGTCAATCTCTGCTTAAGCGCAGATTTCCTCTGTTCGTGCACAAAACTACTTGCGCACCCTCAAATATACGCTGCTCAAGGGCAGATTTTCTTGCGTTCTCAAATAAACGCGGCTGAAGTGTGATTTAGTGCGTTTATGTAGCGAGTATGTCTCCAACATTGATTAGATATGCTAGGAATATTTATGAATGTCTCTAATAGACTTGCGGAGCGGACCGCAGCATTAATGCATCCTGAAGTAAAGTGAAGCGGCTATAAACTTCAGCAAGATAAAGTCATTATATGCAGAGCCACAGACCTTTATCTATAAATAAAGTATAATTATGGAAACTGTGATCATCATAACTGAAAGCTACGTCGTGTTTGCTGGCCTCACGCACCTGTCAGTCAGTCAGCACGTCACCCTAAAGGGTTAAACAGAACGCACAGCACTACTACGGTCACAGAAAAGTTTGCGCTGTTATTATTCACTTACCTTTTCTTACGTTTTCGGTGCGATTTTAACCCGCTATTTAAAAAACGACCGAATATTTTGAATAAGAAGATGTAATGTAGCCGTGGCGGGATGAATTTTGGTGTGGCGCCCCACCATGGAAGAATGAATGTAGCGGAAACCATAGCTGCATCCCAAATGGCACACTATACACTATGCACTCATGCACTATGTACTTATGCACTTACACACTCAACAGGATAGTATATGTATTTAGTGGCGTCCCAAATGGCACACTAATGTTTTTTTACTGAGCGGAAATTCAAACCGTTTCCCTGATGACGTTTGACAAATCAGTGAAATAAATAACCAAATTATCAACCGAATTACCTGCCGTGAGTATTATTGCATTCACCATCGGGAGGCGCTATAATCACTCTTGTAGGAGAATTTTGCTTTCACCATCCAAAATAAATAGTTATCCAACATGTGCGCCCGTTAGCTCCGCCCCTTCCGATAAGTATGCAAACCTGCGGTCGTTGAGTGCGTGAAGTGTCCATCATTCCACACTTCATTTTACCGGCTGATTGAGTGCATCATCCGGGTAATTAAAGTTTACTTATTATTTTTAGAGTTTTTAGTGTGAACACACTACTTACACTATTTATACAACAAAATGGCGTAGAATAGTGCATAATTATGCGATTTGGGACGCAGCTCATGAGTTTGATGATGGCATGACTGATTGTGGAATCATGGGAGTTGTAGTCTTCCTATGGGACTATGGGGCAGAAATCATGTTGATGGATGAGTTTTACGTTTTCTTTGGGAGTGCATTGGCTGTTGTCATGTCACATCGCTTTTGGTGCAGACAGACAAATTTGTTATTGCCGAAATCTTGTCCCATTGCATATCATGGTGTTAGCCTACACTTTGAATGGTTTTAGTGTGAGAAAATTAACAGCAGATTTTTTGTTGTCTGAATCTCAATTGTATTAGCAGATTCTAGATGAGCACTGTTTGTGTTTGTGTGCAGTATGGTGTCATGTGGTTCAGGTAATGTGCGTCTGTGGCGTGTACGTGGCGGTTCTCTACGCTCTTGCCCTGTGAATTTGGGACAGTATCACAATCTGGAGTTCACAGACCTCGCCTTTGAGCAGGGACACACTCAAAACCGGCCGGTGGATGATCGCACACTGTGAGTACACAAAAACACATCACATGCTCAGCAGGTTACTTTGATGAACGCGATGGCTACACTACGTAGAGCTGCTGATATTGATGATGTCATGTGATCTTGAGCTCATCCCTGAGGTGATTTTTGATTGGTGCAGGTTTGTCAGTAGTAGGAGTGGTCACATCTTGGAGATTGACTATGTTGCCGTGGCGATAAAAAACATCAGGAGGCTCCTCCCAGCTCATGAAAGTCACACCCACCAAAGGGAGAAACAGACCTTTAGCACAGGTGAGCAACACAAGCACTTGATTGTTTCCTTGGGTCTCTTTAGGCACATATCAGTTACATGTAAATTAATTTTATTCAGGGAATAAAAAAAAAGATTTCTAATGTAATTTATTTGTTGATTTCAAAATGTATCTATTATTATGTATGTAGTAATTATTTTATATTTTATTCTTATGTCATGCTTTTAAAAAATTTGCTTTAGAAGGCAACAATACTATAATTTATGTACACATATTAAGCGGGGAACTATTATTTTATAATTATTTTATTTTATGTTATGTTTTAACTAGATTGGGGGGAGCTGGCTAGTAATATTAGTCTTAAATTTTATATATTTTTTACATTTTAAAATAATAATTTAACATTCAAATGATTTAATGTTTAAAATAAAATAAAAATATTATATAAATCAGTTTGTTCCATCCAAATTAAAAGATATAAGGAAAACTTAAAGAAAAAATATTATAGGAATTGCCAAAAATTTTATTTCTCTGTTGAACATTACTTGGAAAATATTAAAATAATAAAAATAAATATTTATAAAAATAAATATAATAAAATATTAAACATATTAAAAAGAATAGCATTTTCATAGGAGGGCTAATCATTTATTCACTAATAGAAGTAATCAGGTCGTCTGAGTTTTTCCACAAAATTAAACATTCTCTGAAACATGTAAGCATTGCTGTTCTTGATACTATTAATGTTGGTGTTTCAGGTGCTGGTATTGCGGTGAACAGCATCAGTGTGTGTGCCAAGTTCTGTGTGACTGGTTCAGAGGATGGCTTCATGCGTCTGTGGCCTCTGGACTTCTCATCAGTATTTTTAGAGGCGGGTCAGTTCAGCCCTGTCAATCACTCTAGCTAGGTTTCATCCACTTATTTTTTACATCTTGGCAACTCTTTACTTTAAGTGGTGTTCATAAAACCTTTACAATAAAAACAGCACAGCCAAAGTCTTCATCTTTGTCAATGCAACTTAGGCCCCGTTTACACTAATGCGTTTTAGTTTGAAAACGCATAAGTTTTGCTACGGTTACGCCATCCGTCCACACTACGCCGGAGTTCTCGAGCGCCGAAAACGGAGCGTTTCGAAAACGCTGGAGAGGCCGTTTTCATTCTGAAACGCTGCTGCTCCGTCTCAGTGTGGATGATGGAAAACGGAGACATCTGAAAACGGAGGCGGGGCTGCAGACATTCGCCTCTCTGATTGGGGCTTTTCCTGAATATTAAGTAGCCTACACACACGGTTCAGTCCTGCGTTCTCTCCTTGTAAATTCAGACTTCGCAAGTTTGATCAAGACTGCAGTCTCTTCTTCTCATTTTGATATGGACAACAGACTATACCGAGGACACGGGTAAATCTTTAAAGGGAACAGTGTACTTTATAACTTCATTCACATCACTCTAGCTACGTTGTTTCACTTTCTCAACAATAAAATGTAAACATGATTTAAGGAACTGCCTATTTTCATTTTAATATTAGCAACTTAGACAGCAGAAATGTTGAGGCGCCGTGCTGCATATATGAGCGTCATCTTCACTGTGTGGATATTTATAACAAAACGGAGCCGATAACAACTGCCTCCTTTCAATTTCAGTGAAAATACGAAACATACCCTCTCTTTTGCTGAATATCAGTTTTAATAATGGATAATGGCCATTATAAAAGTATAACATACAATAAGTTTATACATTATAGGAAATAAAGGCAAGCGATCAGTCAATATACAGAATAGGCTACGTGGTTACATTAATCATTAACTTATCTTTGCGCTCAGCCAAAACACGTTACCTGAGAACAAATAAGATTCCAATGACCAAAGTCAGGGAATATGTCGTTAGATAAAGACAACAAGATGAATGAAATATCCCGTTTAATAAATATAGTGAGATTAGATCCAGCGGGAGATGCTTGATGAGAAGTCTGACTAGCAGAGCTCTCATCTCGGTAGATTGGCTGCAGCGCTTGCCCGGGAGCGTCTGTGTGGTCACGTGATGTGCGTTTTCAGCGTTTTGGTGTGGACGGAGAGCAGTTCAGAAACGCTGGGTAAAACGCGAGTGTGGACGCGGATCGTTTTCATTCTAAAACGCCGTTTTAAAACTAAAACGCACTAGTGTAAACGGGGCCTTAACGTTACCTACACATCATAAATCTGTCATAAACATGACTGTCGTGAGGCATTATAATAGTGTCATGAATGTTTTTCTTGCCACTTTTTCAGTCGAACAAAATCTATTTGTCATTTCAAATGACATTTTAATGAAAATTCTGCTTGAACCACTGTAGTTGAGGCCAAAAAAAATATTATTGAGACTGTTATTGACAGATTTATGACAAGGTTTTTTTGTCTTAGTAATGTCAAGATGTCATGACAAAGACAAAAACAGGTTGTCATGTATTTGTTTATGTCAACAATGTTATCTTTGTATTTAAAATGGCATAACTGAGCAAATGACACTTAATGACAGTTGTCATAAGCATGCACAAAATCTCATTCATATTAATGACGTGTGTCCTGTGATGACTATAAAGGTTTCATGTCTTTTCAACACCCCTTCAGGTAAAGTGTTACCCACATCTTTGGATAAAAACACAACTAGTAGTATAGTCACAACTAGTTAACTAGTCACAACTAGTATTGATAACTAGTCACAACTAGTTAACTAGTACAGTCACAACTAGTCACTAATAGTCACAACTAGTTATTTAATTTCAAATGTTTTCTGTAATCACTGAGCCGTCTGTGTGTGTTTCTAGAGCATGAGGGGCCTGTGAGTTTGGTGAATGTGTCTTCGGACGGTTCGAGAGTTCTAGCAGCCACAAGCACAGGGAATCTTGGATACCTGGATGTGGCCAGCCGAGGTTACCGTACTTTGATGAGGTCTCACACAGCTAGTGTTTTGGGCTTCAGTGTGGATGGAGTTCGACGGCGGGTCACCACAGTGTCCAGAGACGCTACTGTCCGCGTGTGGGACATGGACACACTGCAGCAGGTCAGTCATGGGCTGAACTGTAGATTATACATTTTACACATACCGGGTCATTGAACAGCTTTCTCTTTTTGTCTCGCAGCTCTATGATTTTGTCACAGATGATGATGAAAATCCCTGTTCTGTTGCGTTCCATCCCAGCATGCCTCTTTTCGCTTGTGGATCAAGTTCTGGTGCTGTTAGAGTGTTTGATATCCAAACATCGAGCTTAATCGCTCAGCACAGGTGTATAAACACTCTCAGAATTAGTTTTATTGCCAAGTGTGCTTCACACACACAAGGAATTTGTTTTGGCTACAGAAGCTTCCCATCAAACACTCATTTCAAAAAGAGTCATTTGCCTATATAAACACTCGCAAACAAACACTTATTTGCCTATTTAAACACTCACAAACACTTATTTGCCTGTATAAACATTTACAAACACTTATTTGTTTACATAAACACTGACAAACTAATTTGCTTATATAAACACTCACAAACACTTTTTGCCTATATAAACTTACAAACACTCATTTGCCTATATAAACACTCACACTCATTTATCTACATAAACACTCATTTGCCTATATAAACACTCACAAACGAACACTTTTTTTGCCTAATATTAACACTCACAAAAACAAATTGGCCTGTATAAACACTCACAAACAGTCATTTGTCTACATAAACACTAATGTGCCTATGTAAACACTCACAATCCCTCATTTGCCTATATAAATACTAACAAACACTTATTTGCCTATATAAACACTCAAACACTTATTTGCCTATATAAACACTTATAAACAAACACTTATTTGCCTATATAAAACACTCACAAACACTAATTTGCCTATATAAACACTCACAAACAAACACTTTATTATAACCTTTATTTTACCAGGAAAGACACATTGAGACTAAATATCTCTTTTACAATAGCGTCCTGGCCAAGATTAGGCAGTATACATGTCACATGGGTCTAACAGACAACAAACAAAAAACAGTTAACATGAATCACACTGACAAACTGTTCAAAACATCTACAAACCTGTTTTTCAACTTCTAAATCTTTTATTTGCCTATATAAACACTCACAAAACACTAATTTGCCTATAGAAACACTCACAAACAATCATTTGCCTTTATAAACACGCACAAGCACTCATTTGCCTATATAAACACTTATAAACACTTGTTGGTGTGTATAAACACTCACAAACACTAAATTGCCTATATAAACACTTATAAACACTCATTTGCCTGTATAAACACTCATTTGCCTATATAAACACTAACAAACACTCATTTGCCTATATAAATACTCACAAACACTTATTAACCTCTATACAAACTCTCAAACAAGCACTCATTTGCCTGTATAAACACTCACAAACAAACACTCATTTGCCTATATGAACAATTTAAAACAAACACTAATGCGCCTATATAAACACTCACAAACAACTACACTCAATTGCCTAATTAAATCAACAGAGGCTTGCTGTATGTTTATCGACTGAGTGTGTGTGTGTTTGTAGGCAGCACTGTGGGTCAGTTGAGTGTGTGATATATTCTCCTGATGGTCAGTGTTTGTTCAGCGCCGGCTCTGGATATCTGGTCCTTTACAGCTCCTCTGAACGCGAGCATCATGTAGTCCGAGTTCTGGGTGAGTGATCAGTAAAAGTCACATGTATGATGTTACTTCCTCCTTACAGCACGTTCTGAACTCTTAATTAGTAGGCATACTTTTCATGAGAACTATTGGACATCTTCTGAATAATTGCTTTTGTTTTTTAAGGTAATGTGGTTATGTGTGGTGTGAATCGTAGTCCGGATATTTTGGCCGTGAGCTCTGACAGTCGCCGTCTGGCACTGATCGGACCGACCGAATATATCGTCACGATAATGGAGGCAAGATCCCTGAATGAGGTACATCATAATCAACATAATCCTCAACATAATGCTTTGTCAGAGCTGTTGCACATTTTCAAAACCTGTTTTTTTTTCTCAGCATATACTTTTATACCTAACTATTCAAATAAAATCATTTTGATATCATTCATTTTATAAAACATTCACTTTTTTGCTGACCTTTTTAAATTACGGATGTAATGAATAATATATGTACTATATTTTGAAATAAAATTTTTGAGGAGAATAATTTCTAGAAATTTTATTTTGTGTATGTTGTTTGTTTGCTCTTCAATTTATTGTTTCAAATAGTGACACATGATCTGCTATATTCACAATTACTTTTCTTTTTTTTTTATAATTTAATATTATTAATTGTAATTACATAAATTATGTTTTTATTTCATATTTCCGTTTTAATGTTTTATATAATTTTTTTGTTTTTCTTTTTCTTTCTTTTCTTTTTCTGTCTTTGTTTTTCATCTTTTTCTTCTTTTTTCCTCGTCTCTTATTTTTTATTCTTTTTCTTTATCTTTGTTCTTCTTTCTTATTTTTCTTTTTCTTTTTTCTTCGTCTTCTTTTTTCTTTTTTTCTTCGCCCTCTCTTTCTTTTTCTTTTTTCTTTTTTTTCACCTTCGCCTTCTCTTCTTTTTCTTTTTTTCTTTGCATTTTTCTTTTTTCTTTTCTTATTCTTCATATTTTTCCTTTTTTTCTTCTTTTTCTTCTATTTTCTTTTTTCTTCTATTTTCTTCTTTTTCTACATTTCTTCTTTGCCTTCTTTTTTCATCTTTATCTTTTATTTCTTATTTCTTCTTTTTCTTCTTTCTTTTCTTTTCCTTTGTCTTATTTTTTCTTCATCTTTTTCTTTTTTCATCTTCTCTTTTTCTTTTTCTTTTTTCTTTGTCTTCTTCTTTTTTAACTTTCTTTTCTTCATCTTTATCTTTTTTTCTTTCTTATTTTTTCTTCTTTCTTTTCTTTTCCTTTTTTTCATTTTTATTGTCTTTCTTTTTTCTTTTATTTTCCTTTTTTCTTCATATTTTTCTTCATTTTCTTCGTTTTCTTTTTCTTTTTTCTTCGTCTTCTTTTTCTTATTTTTTCTTCATCTTCTTTATTTCTTCTTTTTTTGTCTTCTCTATCTTTTGAAAAATATAATTTTTTTTCTTTTTTTCGCCTTCTCTTTTTTATTCTTTGTTTTTTCTTTTTCTTCTTTTTTCTTTTACTTTCTTTTTTTCTTCTTTCTTCTATTTCTTTTTTCCCTCTTATTATTATTATTATTATTATTGCTATTTATGTAATTTCAGTTCTATATTAATTGAAAACAAATGTAGTAACTTTTGATATATTTTGTGACATGTACAGCGAAAGCTAAACAGTGTTTGTTTCTGTGTGTGTCAGCTGCTCCGGGTTGATGTGAGCATTGTGGATGTTGAGAGCTCGACTCTGGACTCCGCTCTGAATGCGTGTTTCTCACCTGCATCACTGTCACACCTGCTCATCTCCACATCCGCCAATAAAATCCTCTGGATCGACACACACACAGGACAGCTGCTCAGACAGGTAAAACCCTGCAGGACGACAAATGCGCTCTCAGAAAAAGAAATATCTGTTTTTAGGGTTCCCATTGGTCATTAGATTACTTATACATGGGTAAATTTTCCATTGTTTGTGGATAAAGATATTCCTTTTAATACTATGCAAAACAACCTCAGCCTGTTTTTCAGTCGTAGGTCAAGGAAATCTAGCTTTTTGGTCAGAGAAACGTCATGGAGTTTTTCTATTTTATGGTTTTAGTCTGATTATTCCTGTGCTACAGGTCTCTGAGGTGCACAAGCATCAGTGTGAGTCTCTAGCAGTCAGTGAAGATGGTCATTATCTGCTCACAGCCGGCCAAAACTCGCTCAAGGTCTGGGATTATGACATGAAGCTGGACGTCAATTCACAGGTCTGTCCCACTGAAGACTGGATTTCATGAGGGCTGATGATTAAGTGTCTAATAAGTAATTGCAATTATGATGATCTATTGTCATCATATTGATTGATTTGATTGATCATATTTATTGATCATATTCACAATATGGCTAAATATGAATATATACTGTATATAAAGCATAGTTAGCTTATTTGAACGTGTGAATGGAGTATTTTTAATTCTAATGATTGGAAATTGATATGTAAAATACTTATGTTTATACATGCCTATAGTTGTGTCTACAAGGTTTATATATTTATATAACCACCTTGAAAAATGGGGGTCGCGAGTCACTGACATTGTTAATTTGGGGGTCGCAGGCTGAAAAGTTTGGGAACCCCTGGCCTAACTCATGGTCTCACATTATGAATGTTAGTCTTAATTTCAGAGGTGCCACAGCGGGAATGAACCGTCATGTGTAAGCATTATCTAAATAAATTTTACGCACAATAGATTTATAAAATAAATTCAAGCTAAATAGATTTGTTTTTTGTTTTATGATATGCTGTAATTTAAGCATGCATTGCATTCTTCTTATTTATGATATGTACTGTATACAGTATATAGACATTGCATAACACATTAGGTCATGAAAATTTACTTGAAAATCCTAGAAAAATTCTGGAATTTTAGTAGTAAAATGGGTATGAACCCTGGTATGAGTGTGTGTGTGAATGCGAGAGTGTATGGGCATTTCCCACTACTGTGTTTCAGCTGTAAGGGCATCCGCTGCGTAAAACATATACCATATAATATAACATACACATATAATATAAATTTACTTCTATACTTTATATCTGTGATATCCAAACAAACTTGCATGTTAAATGTGTGATTTGCATATATTACCATATATCAGATTTTCATATGGGGGATTTGTCATGTTTTTTATTTATTAAGGAATTGTTAAATTAATTGACTCTTTTGCAAGTTTTCACTTTGATCCTTTCAATGTTAAAGTAATTCATTACATTAGTAATTTAAGGGTCACACTTTGTTTTGATGGTCCGTTTGTTGAATTTAAGTTACATTGCATCTACATGCCAACTAATTCTCATTAGATTATGAGTAGACTGTTAGGTTGGGGTTGGGGTTAGGAATAGGGTAAGTTGACATGTGCTTGTAAAGTTTCTGAAAGTCTGCTAAATGTCTGTTGAAGGAGCAGTATCAACAGATATTAAACAGACACTCTACTAATAATCAAATAGACCATCAAAATAAAGTGTTACCTAATTTTACAATCAAAGCAAATTGGCCTAAAACAAACAAAAATGGATGTAAAACACACGACAGAATTTTTTTGATGAATATTTGCTACTGAAAAGCTATATGAACTATTTTTCATTGAAATGAGTTGTTGGCATTGCGGTTGTTTTAAGTTTTTTAACTAGTTATTAGTAGAGAGACGCTGTAGAGTGCAATTTATGGAACAATTTTTCTGTATTTTGATTCATGTGTGTACCAAACACCTATTATTGGAATTGCAGCCATTTGAAACGAACACGCTTGGATTAAATAACTGCAACTGGATGGATATTTAATTATGGCAACAGGTTTAATAGTGAGATGATGATGATGATGATGATGATGATGATAATGTGTGGCCATGTGTATGCATGTGTTTGTGTCCTGCAGGTGTTCATCGGTCACTCTGAGCCCATCAGACAGGTGAGGTTTACTCCTGATCAGGTGGGTGTGGTCACTGCAGGTGACGCCCTGTTCTTCTGGGACTTCCTGGCTCCTCCACAGCAGAGTGAACATTGCAGGTATGACCATTGTCTTTCTGTGTTTTTGTTTTTATGTACCATAAAATATCTAGAATTTTTATTTGTTGAGCGCTTTGTCTGTTTTTACCAGGTCTCCAGCTTTAAACGTCTCTTCTCGTAAATCAGGTGTGATGGGCTATTTATTTTGTCTGATTTATTGCAAGAATTTTAGTTATTAGGTCAGTCTTACAATTTAATTCAAATAAAATTCCCCAGACTGAAAAGAAGCTATCCATATTTTAGGAAAAGCTCATTTTAGATTTTACACCTGCATTGGTCTTTTAATTAAAGAGGAAACATTTGCTGTTGGCTTTCATTCACATTTTTTCCTGATAATTGCACCTAAAAAAGATAATACTACATAATATATATACATTAAAAGTGTCATCTATACACACACACACACACACTTATATTTATTGAAATGTCAACAAATAAATAAATGTAATGAATCAAATTAAAAAATGTATATACAATAGTTCTTTTTGATGAACTTTATTAAATCAGAACAAACATCCAGAAATTGAAATTACACATTTTTTTTATTGAAATTGTGTTTATTTTCTTTTATTTATTGGTTCAAATGGTGTTTTTATTATATTTATGCGTTTATGTATTAAATTTATATGTACGGTAATACAAATTAAATGAAATTAAGTATTCAATTACATTTTAAAAGCTGTAGATTAAAAGCAAACGTTGGTTAATTTGCTTACTGCTATGCAAAGTAACCTTGTGCATAATATAATTTTCATCTTCATATTTAATTCCTAGAAATTTTTTATTCACTTTTGATGTTTTCATTTTTTTGTTTTGAGTGTTTAATGATGCCAGTTCTGCTCCTCTTTGTTCAGCTCAAAGTTGGGCGGGGCTTAATATATCAGAGCTGTCCAATGAGAAACCTCGAGAGGCTTTATTTCATCCCTCCTCACCGCCGGTCATGAATTTTCTTTCCACCAAGAGAAATGACACTGAAGGTATTGTACATATTCAGCAGTGTTTGTCCTCATTTCTACATCAGTGTTCTTTAACTACTTTATTCCTCTAGATTTACTGTGCAAATCAGCTGCTGAACTTCAGCTCAGTCCCTCAGCAGACCACGCCCACTCCCCTCCCCCCAGACACGCCTCCTTCCTTAGAGTAACTGAGTGGGAAAAGGACGAGGACACGCCCACTCTCTCCGGCCACCAATCAGGATCCGAGAAAACACAGGGACACACATTGATCCACCCAGACTGTTATAAACACTTCACTCCAAGATTCAAGACTTCTGTCGTGGATCAGGTGTGTTTTAAATGTGTTATTCAATAATATTTAAAGTAAAGCTATTTAAATATTTAGCATACAGTGTCTTTTTACCTAGGCTGTAAATAAACGATTGATCCCACCTAAAGTATGTCAAAACTGTAGTAGAAGTAGTTCTCTCTGATCTGTATTTTAAAAAATAATACTAATTTACTAATAACTAAAATAATAGATAATATAAAAATACTTGTTTGTTTCTACATTTAGCCTAAAAGCAAAGTAAAATAATGCATAGTTTTTGTAGTTTCCCCTAAAATAACTCCTGAAATAGCTAATTAGAGGTAACTATAGGTCAGAAAACGAAAAATTTAAATGCGTTTTATTAATAAATGAGATGTAATTTAAATAAATAAAAATATTTAAATAACTGAATCATATTTTACACTAACATTACAGAAAAAGTTAACCCCGCCTATTGTCAATGTATAGTTTGCACCCTGTTTTACCACTTTTTTTACTCCGCAACAACGCTTCTGTTTTTGTAGTCTGTTGTAGCTTCACCCTCAGGAGAGGCGGGGCTTAGTCTGAAGGCTGTGATTGGCTATAATGGAAATGGGCGTAGCAATATGGTCTGGAATCCAGACACAGGTAAAAAAAAAAAAAAAAAAACTTTGTATAAATGCTGTATGTCAATGTCTTTGTACACACAATTAGCTACATCTTGTGTGTTGTATTTACGTGCAGGTTTGTTTGTGTACACCTGTGGAAGTATCGTCATCATTGAAGATCTTCACACAGGCTCACAGAAACAGTGGTTCGGACACACAGAAGAGATCTCAACGCTCGCTGTCACCCATGATGCACTGGTACCACATCCATACAGAACATGGATTATTTAATATATACAACAAATAAATCACACACTCATTCTCTGGCTCCAATAGTCAGAAATGCTTGACTAATAATGATTGTTAGCAGAAATTAGTGGTTTCCTAAATGAACCCTCTTTCTAATTTGCTCACAGACGGTTGCGTCTGCATCAGGGGGCGGAGCCTCACACAGCAGCCTCATCTGCATATGGAATGTTCAAGATGGTTCCTGTAGACACAAGCTCGCGTATCACAATGGAGCAGTGCAAAGCCTTACATTTTCCAGGGATGACATGTACCTTCTCTCTGTGGGTCAGTGTTTGACGTTTTGTGTTGTTAAACAGTTGAAGATAAAGCTATTAGCCCTCCTGTGAAATTGTATTTCAAATATTTTCCTATTATGTTTTTCTTATGTTAGACATTTTTTCTTTTAGTTTTACCTGAATTTTAAAAAAGTTATAGATTTAAAAACTAATATTCACGTATTAAAAGTAAAAAAATTGACTACTGAATAAAACATAAAATCCCAATTTTTTTGCAAAGTAATTTAAAAATATCTGACTTCCTGTTGAGTTTTGGTTTTCGCTCCAATAGACTTTTTTTATAGGTATTGGCATGTTTGATGTGTTTGTAAAATGTAGCTCAGGGGCCAATCCATCAAATGTGCATAGGTGGCGCTGTCGAGCCATTTTGCCACACCCACTTCGGAAACCTATAACAAATGTAAATTTTCACCACTTTCTGGTGTGTGCGCAGGGTTTTGTGAGTTTTCAAGCATGTGCTTGTCTAAAGGGTTATGTGGGCATATATATGCACATTTACAAGTTTAATAATTTTACTTTAGATTTCTGAAAGGAATTCAACAATATAATTCCCATCTGATATATTAATAGTTGTGGTGTGTGCTAATATTTTATTTTTAGAACGCAATTAATATATAGTTATTGTTTCTGGCTTAAACAGGCCGTTATGCTGTAAAAAAAAATCTGTACTAACAGTTTAAGTAAACAAATCTTGTTAACTACAGTTACCTGGGGTCTCATTTATAACGTGGCGTTTGCACAAAACAGGGCTGGAAATGTGTGTACGACACTTCTCACACATAAGTTGTAATCTATATAACTTGAACTTGATTTAAAACGTGCGCAGCTGTAAGTGTGGTGAGTACAGTAAACAAATTTAACTATTAGCTTAAATATTGACTTAATTGATTCACTTTAAATCATCATATGAGCCATAAATACATTTAAATTTATTCTGGTGTACCTTCACTTTTAGGAAGGTTTCTATTCACTTTATTCTCTGCGGACGAGCGGGCGCAGCCATTTGAATCTTTTTGGCACGAGACTTCCGGTCTCATTCACTTCCATTCATATTTAGACATTAAAAACTGCTCGTTTTCCTTTTTGATGTTGCAAACTGATATTTCCTTGTTATATTATTCAACTTGGTCTGTATAGTCATGCAAACATTTGTTTGTAGAGCAAGTAGTTTGACCGTTTTTTGCCGTTTATTATTCCTAGTCATTTCTCCCATAGGCGACTGAAATGGAAGTTCTAAGACAATCGCGAAAACAGGCGCACTTCCGCATTTTAGAATAAGGTCAATACCATTTTTATAAATGGTATAGAAACCAGCCAGCTAGCTCTCTGCAAGTAACTGGATGGGAGACCACATGGGAAAGCTAGGTTTCTGCCAGAAGTGGTGTTAGTGAGGCCAGCAGGGGGCACTCAACCTGCGGTGTGTGAGGGTTCTAACGCCCCAGTATAGTGAAGGGGACTATATACTGCTCAATGAGCGCCGTCCTTCAGATGAGACGTTAAACTGAGGTCCTGACTCTGTGGTCATGAAAAATCCCAGGATGTCCTTCGAAAAAAGGTTCACCCCAGTTTCACCCCAGCATACTGAACAAATGTGCCCACTGGCCTCTGTCCATCATGCCCTCCTAATCATCCCCATATCATAATTGGCTTCATCACTCAGTCTCCTCTCCACCAATCAGCTGGTGTGTGGTGTACGGTCTGGTGCAATATGGCTGTCGTCACGTCATCCAGGTGGAGGCATCCACTAGAGGTAGATGAGGAGATTCACTCAAGGTGTAAAGCGCTTTGAGTGTCTAGAAAAGCGCTATATAAATGTAAGGAATTATTATTATTATTATTAATATAGAAATCATATATATATTTTATATATAATATAAATCAGACCCCTGTTCATTTTTAAGATCAATTAATGCTATATTTTAGTACATTTAGTTGAAAATGCTCTTCAGAATAAACAAATAATAGAACTTTTTTTTTTTTTTTTTGGTAAATTGGAGAATGTTTAATAAAATAATTGTAATTTTTTAAGCTTTAATATCCTGTGCATTAACTCTTATAATGCATTTTGGACCCAGTTTTGACCCAGAAGTAACCCAGAAGTTTTTTTTTTTTTTTAAATACAATTTTACATTAATTTCCTTTTCGGCTTAGTCCCTTTATTAATCAGGGGTCGCCACAGCGGAATGAAACTCCAAACTATCCAACATATGTTTTTCGCAGCGGATGCCCTTCCAACCGCAACCCAGCACTAGGAAACACTCATACACTCTTGCATTCACACACACAATACACTACGGCCAATTTAGCTTATTCAATTCACCTATAGCACATGTGTTTGGACTGTGGGGAAAACCCAGAGGAAACCCACGCCAACACTGGGAGAACATGCAAACACAGCAACCTTCTTGCCCTAAAATTTTAAAAATGCTTTATTTTTTTTTATTACAAATGCAGTTTTTTTGTTTATTTGCTTGTAAATTAGAGAATGTTTTCTAAAATAATTGTGAATTTTTAGCTTAAATATCCTGTGCATTAACTCTTATAATGCATTTTTGACCCAGTTTTGCATTTTGTTTTTAGATAAAACTTTATAAATGTATAGCTTTATTGTGTGTGTATGTACATGCATTTATTTATTTATATACTTGTAATTGTTAAAAAAAATGTATGTTTGGTTTTGTTTTCAGTAGTATTATTAAAGGGCCATGAAACCCCCTCGTTTCAGCAGGGTGTTTTCACACCTCTACTTTGGAAAAAGTCAGAAAAGTGGGCGTGTCCAGCTCTGTTTAGGGGGGAGTGTCGGAGGAAGAAAAGAGGCTTGGTGTGGGAGTGTCTATTTGGGCACGCGCGAGTTTCAGAGTCAAAACAGACACACACACACAAACACACACACGGGAGAAATTGATGGTGTTTACATGGACATCTGTAGTCGAATTATTTGCCAAATTATTAAATGGTGGACTTTAACTGCAGTTTGTCTCTTTCATTCAGGAAATTCATTCATGTCCCTCGCGACAAACGAGATATTTGATTCGAGGAACTGCTGTAAGCGTGTATTTTTCATGCAATGTTTGATACCGCACGGCAAATGAAAGAAAAAAACCCTCCGCATTTCCCGGAAACTTAGATGCACACAGCAGGTAACGTCAGAAAGCCGCGTGTGTTATTCCGGTCACTAAATGCGGCGAAAATCCTACACGAGGTTAAAGTTTGGTTGTGGTGCTAACATGTTTACACTCGGTGCAATAGTTAACTTAGTTCGATAGGAATAAACAACGTGGTGTCTGTCGTCTTAACACTGTGACAGGAATGAATATTAATGAAGTTGCACAATAGAGCGCTCTGATTGGTTTGAACCAAGCCTTACTCATGCATTAATGCAGCACACTGTAAGACGTAATAAGACACACTCTGGCACAGACGTCCAGTCTGCACGCTGGAATACAGGCTATTATCTCATGGCCGTGATGCAGCTTCAAAAATGTTTCAAACCGGAAGTACGAATTTGCTTGAAATAACGAAAAAACAACCAATTTACACTTTTTAGTGAAATATAGGTGTCCTGATAGTGTTTTTAGCAGTGTGGGACACATATACGACTGTCAACAGCTCTAAAAATGTGTTTTGGTGTTTCGTGACCCTTTAAACATTTTAAGAAAAATTACAAATGTTTTACATCTTCAAAATATACATGATTTGTTTTTTCATTATTGTATTTTTTAAGTTTTGGTTATTGTTTTTGTAATTATATATTATCTGCTTTCAGGTGATTTTTCAGAGGCGTTGGTGGCGCTGTGGAGCACTCGCTCATTTGAGCTGCTCTGCACCGTTCAGCTCTCCATTCCTCTGCATGATGCTGCGTTCTCCCCATTCACTGCTAATGAGCTGATGCTCGTCGGCAGCAGTGCTGTTGTCTTTACTCGGATACACACACACGACAACACTACTGAACTGCAGGTACGAACACACACTATATGCATGCATGAAAATAAAGGCAATCTTTCTGCAGCTTTTTCCTCCTCCTGCAGGTGCAGAAAGTGGGCTTACCTGATGCGGTCGGACAGGCAGAAGTGACATCAGTGTGTTATAACACTCGCAATATCCTCTACACAGGCACAAACAGTGGCCATGTGTGTGTGTGGGACTGTAACACACAACGCTGCTTTGTAACCTGGGAAGCAGATAGAGGAGAGATCGGTATGAGTGTGTGTTTGCTTTGTTGTCTGTGTTGTAAGCAGACAGTATAATAATGTGTGTTTTTCTAGGTGTGTTGGTTTGCTGTGGAAATATGCTGGTCACTGGCAGCAATACTAAAAAACTGAGACTGTGGTCTGTAGCTTCGGTCCAGAGTCTGAGCAACTCTGATAGCAAGAGGAGCAGAGCACAGGATGATGGGTAAATATGGATGCGTTCAGGAAAATATTACTGCTTCAAAACTTTTGAGTGGCAGTTTACAGTGACAAATGAAAGCCTGTTTCTACATTTACATTTAGTCCTTTAGCACAGTGGTTCTCAAAGTGAGAATCGAGACCCCCTTGGGGGTTTGGGGGGGGGGGGGTCCAACATTTTTCTAAATATCTTCTTTTGCATTTAACAGGTATAGAACAAGTAAAGAATGAAAAAAATATGGACGTAATCTTTATTTTTGGTTGAAATGTCTCTTTGAGATACTATTAAAGGGGTGGTCCACTACGATATCATATTTTAAACTTTAGTTGATGTGTAATGTAGCTGTGTGAACATAAACGACGTCTCTGAATGTAAAAAGTTCAAAGTTCAATGCAAAGGGAAAACTTGGTTTTTACAGAGTTAGCTTAGCAAAGCCTACAATGAACGAATTTTGGGGAATACAAAAAATACTTCCTACCCTTGTGAGATCACAATGCTTCGTTTACCGCGCACACACACTGCTCAGCTAAGGGCCGTGGCCAGAGGGGCTGTAACGTTACTGCAGAGATAGAGCTAAAATGCGTCCAAACGCTGCTGTTTCCACAGAGCTTTGTCTGTTTCTGTATTTGGGCTTCCAAAGGACACGACACAAACACAGAAGTGCTTACAGTTCAATATTAATCATGTTCCAGAGAATTATAAAATACTCAGCAAGCATGATTTGACAAAACAGCTCCAGAATCTCTCCCAGTTCAGTGCTGGATTCGGTTAAAATCTCCTCAAAGCAGAAGCTGTGAGCTACAACCTGTAAGTGTTTTTATTAGTTAAAATTGATCAAGACATGTACAGTGTCTAGCGTTAACGGTATGCTGTAGCAACGATGTAAACAATGGGAAATGCTGCTTTGCGGGCAAACCATTTAGCTACAAATTCATATTTATCAGTCAAAATGCTATAAACACACACACACTTCACCAGCGCGTTCGTCTCTATGTGTGTGCGTGACTTTGCATTGATTGTCTTTAGGCAGCTTTACCATGCGTTTCACATCTCAGATAATGAAGTCGCAAAAGATATGTGGATGATTCAAATTATTTACACCTGCATATTCCGGATACATGTGAAAGACGCCGTGTAACGCGTTGAGTAAAAAAAAAAACACAGGATAGCTCACCTGACTCTTGTGTAGCAGCAGAAAAATAAATCAAGGCTCTCACAGGTCGCATCCCACATCTTGTGCTTTATTCTTCTGTCACGATATATTACAGAAAATAACTTAATCCGAGCATCAGAGAAAAAGAAAGTCCCGCGCACATGCGCTTGTTACAGAAAGTTTACACATTCACGCACACACATAGACACACGCAATAGCGAGGTCTCTTAATGGAGCCGCACCCCATTTTCACTCGTCACAAATTATTTTTTCACTCGTTACTTGTCAGATTTAAATTGGAGGTTGACTGTTTACACAGCAGAAAAGCGCGTGCTTGTCCAGGCATGACGTGGAGCCGATCCGCGAATCGCAGCACATTATGACGATGACCAATCAGAGTCACTTGAGGGCGGGCCTTTCAGAGGAACTAGGAAACATATCAGTCGTTTTCATGTTAGCTGAGTAGCTGTGTATAAACTTTTATGAAAAAGTAACATGATTTCCTTCAAGTGAAACATGAGCACACATTGCTTTGCATCTTATAAACACAACCAAGCCTTAAAATTACGTTCTGGACCACCCCTTTAAGCTATTCAAATGAGGTAGAAACGGGTTTCAGTTATGATATTTTGTGTATATGTTTGTTTTAATTACTCTTGAAATGTATGAAATAAAGCTTGACGCTTGACTTGTTTTGAACCTATAAGAACTCAGGTGCAGCTTGAGCAAGAGCTGCTGTTGGATGGTACTATAGTCAGTGCTGCGTTTGATAAGGTCATGGACATGGGGATTGTGGGTACGACAGCAGGAACCCTGTGGTACATCAACTGGACCGACAGCACCAGTATACGGCTGATCAGCGGGCATAAGAGCAAGGTGTGACACAAAACCGCCTGTTCTTCTCTGGCACATGAAATATTAGCAAAACCTTCCAGAAACCAAAAGCTGAAATGAGGATTCTGAAAGCGGATACGACCCGGTTTGTGTTGGTGTTGTAGGTGAACGGTGTGGTTTGTAGTCCAGACGAGCAGCATTTCGTCACGTGTGGGCAGGATGGCAGTGTCAGAGTTTGGACGCTGCAGAGCCATGAGCTGCTGGTGCAGTTTCAGGTGCTCAACCAGGTCAGTTTAAACACTGTGATATAATGTTAAATGTGTACGGTAAATACAGTAATGTCAAGAAGTTGTGTCCAGAGCATTTGTTTTTAATGACCATACAGGTTAAATTAACCTTCATGTTAGGTTTGGGTTCAGTATGACACCAGGCATACTACACACACACGGCTTTCTGAGCTACCGAGTGCATCTGAGTTACAGAGAAATGCAGAGGCTTTTTTCTCTTATACGATGTGCAGTATCAAACATTTCACCGTCATTAAACACACCGGGCTCTATTTTGACGGTCCATGCGCAGAGCACAAAACGCAGCACGCAAACGCTTTCAGAGCGTGTCAGAGCGCATTTTTGCTAATTTAAGGACGGAAAAATCCGCTTTGCGCCATGGCACATGGTCTAAAAGAGTTGAGTTTATTTTCTTGATGAGTTATAGGTGTGTTTTGAGAATAAACCAATTAGAATCTCATCTTCCATTACCTTTAAGAGCCAGCTGTGTCGCGCCATAAGCGCATTTTGACGTAAAGTTCACTTTCGCTTTTGCTCTCGTGGATAGGGAAACCTTACAGCACAGACATCAATTAGCCTATAAATAATTAATTTCGTTTGTTAAGCGCAAAGATTTGTTTCAAAACTATTTCTAAATTCAGTTCTAATTTCCAGCAAACGACTAAATTATTAATAATAACCAAGTGTGGTCAAAATACTGAGTTATTTCCAAATACACCTGCTATGCCCCATATTGTCTAAAACCTGACAGGTGGACAAATCTAAGCTTGTTTTTAATAAAAACAAATATAAATATGGATATAATAAATAATAGTGCTAATAATAATAACATTATACAAAAGCAAATTGTTATGAATAAACTGAAAAAGCCTCCCGAGATGAAGAAAGTATGAAGGCAGTGGTTTTTAAATCTTCAGGTAGGCTAGAAATTAATATGTTTTGTAATATTTTAATCATTTATATTTATATCCTGTATATATCCTTATTATATCCTATATATATCCTTAATAAAGATATTTGCGTATTGCTCTACATCTTGTTTGTGGTGTGTAAGCCAGGCGCACTTTGCGTCAGACAATAGACCGACTTTGTTTTGGTCTAACGATCAGACTATTTAGTTTCTCAAAATAGCAACGCGCCAAAACATGCCTGCTTTTTTAGACCAGATGGGCGCACATTTAAGCGCAAATGCATTTGCTATTTAAACAGTGTGGCGCAACACCTCAAAATGACCCTTGCGCCGAGCTAAAAGTGGCAAAAGAGTATAGCGCCACGTCTTGCACCACATTGCGCGGGGTGTATGATAAGGCCCACCGTCTTTCTCCCCTGCTTGTGTGTTTGTTTTTCCTCTGTCCGCAGCGCGTGCCCAAATGGCAACTCCCATTTTTATTCAAACCCTTCCCGTTTTCCCTCCCCCGACACTCCCACCCAAACAGAGCTAGACACGCCCACTTTCCTGACTTTTTCCAAACTAGAGGTGTAAAAACACCCTTGTGAAACGGGGGGTTTCATGGCCCTTTAAGATAAGTAGAAAAAACATATGTATCTTCCCATTCAGGCTTTTTCAAAATAATTGTAGCTGTTCTGATGTCCTGCATGACATGACCGGGGTCTATTTGTTGAATAACATATGGAACTTATTCATTCATTCATTTTCTTTTCGGCTTAGTCCCTTTATTAATCTGGGGTCACCACAGCAGAATGAACCGCCAACTTATCCAGCAGCGGATGCCCTTACAGCCACAACCCAACACTGGGAAACATCCATACACAACCATTCACATACATACACTACACACAATTTAGCTTTCCTAATTCACCCATACCAAATGTGTTTGGACTTGAACATGCAAACTCCATACAGAAATGCCAGCTGACCCAGCAGAGGCTCGAACCAGCCGCCCTTCTTGCCGTGAGGCGATTGTGCTACCCACTGCGCACCGTGACGCCCCATATAGAATACTCCTATTTTTTTTATATGCAAGTTATACAATTAATTGTGTATTTTTTTCTAATGTGCACAATACTGCTTAATGTTTGAAGTAAAGATACACTAATTTCGGTCACACTTTAAAGCAAAGTTTTATTAATGTCTGTTGATGTATTTATTATCATAAGCTTAGAATGAACAATATTTGTACAGCATAAATTAGTCACAGTTCAGCATTTACTAAAGCATTATTTACATCAAAATCATATGAATGACTGTATTTTCATTAACTATCATTAACAAAAATGAATAATACTGTAATAAATCTATTGTTCATTGTTAATTTTAGTTAATACTTTAGCTAATATGGTAAAGTGTTATCCTTATTTCTATGATGTTATTTTTTCATTAAGTTCAGGGTTGATGGAATTCACTTTTAAATAGAGGGAAAAAGTTCATTAAAACATATTGATATAATTTGCACATATTAATCACTGAGTCAGTGACCCAAGTGCAGCAAAACTCAGGATAACAGGAAGATTAGTCTATCCAAAATTGTGGGACGTTATTTTGAGAAAAGGAAAATGCTGAACTTAGTTTATTGTGTTTAATTGACACAGTATTTTGGCCAAAAAGGATTTTACAGATGCATTACAACAGTTCTATGCAATTTATTGTGTGTATATAGTATTTCTTCTTCCATTTGACTTTATTGTGTGTTGATGTCAGAGCTGTGAGTGTGTGTGTTGGAGTCCCCCAAGGGGTGTGTGTGGCTCCAGGGGGCGAATGTGTGTGGCAGCGGGATACAGTGATGGGACAGTGAGGATCTTCAGTCTGGATTCAGCAGAGATGGAGCTCAAACTACAGCCTCAGCCTGATTCTGTGTGTGCGCTGCAGTTCTCGCACTACGGTCAGTGTGTGGGTGTGTGTTGACTGAGTGTGCCAATGTCTGTGTGTGTCATATTTATATATAGTCAGAAGTCAGAATTATTTGCCTTCCTGTTTATTAGCCCTTTTGTATATATTTTTCCCCGTTTTCTGTTTAGCAGAGAAAAGATTTCTAATTACTGATTTCTTTTATCTTTGTCACGATGACAGTAAATAATATTTGACTAGATATTTTTCAAGACACTTCTATACAGCTTAAAGTTACATTTAAAGGCTTAACTAGGTTAATTAGGTAAACTAGGCAGGTTAGGGTAATTAGGCAAGTTATTGTATAACGATAGTTTGTTCTATAGACTATTGAAAAATATATAGCTTGAAGGGGCTAATAATATTGACCTTAAAATGGTGTTTAAAAAATTAAAAACTGCTTTTATTCTAGCTGAAATAAAAAAAAATAAGACTTTCTCCAGAAGAAAAAATATTATCAGACATACGGTGTAAATTTCCTTGCCCTGTTAAACATCATTTGGGAAATATTTAAAAAAAATTAAAGAAAAATAAATTAAAGGGTGGCTTATAATTCTGACTTAAACTGTATACAGAAATGCCCACTGACACAGAAGAGGTTTGAACCAGCAACCTTCATCGTGCTACACACTGCGCCACACACACAAACACACACACACACACACATATATATATATATTATATATATATATATATATATATATATATATATATATATATATATGTATGTATGTATGTATGTATGTATGTATGTATGTATGTATGTATGTATGTATGTATGTATGTATGTATGTATGTATGTATGTATGTATGTATGTATGTATATATATATATATATATATATATGTATGTATGTATGTATGTATGTATGTTCATATACATGTATGCATACACACACAAATGTGTATATGTGTGTGTGTGTGTGTGTGTGTGTGTGTGTGTGTGTGTGTGTGTGTGTGTATTCATTGTCTGATTGTGTGTGTTTATTTGTTCACTATTTTTGTGTGTGTAGGTGATGTGCTGTTGTCTGGTGCTCGTGATGGTGTCATCACTGTCTGCAGTCCCGTCACTGGAGTGTCTATTCGCACCATCACTGACCACAGGGGGGCCTCCATCAATACATTGCAGTGCACCAGCAAACAGGTTTGAGCATCAATAAAGTATGATCTGCCAATTGTGTTGCCTTTGAGAAATGCACAGCAAACTTGAAGCTCATATAACATCACAATTTATATTTGCATTTTCTATATTTTAAATTTATACATTAGAATGTAATTAAATGTATTTATTTTATGTATTTATTTATTCATTCATTCATTTAATTATTAATTTATTTATCCATTTATGCATTTCTTTATTCATGCATTTACTTATTCATTTAAAAAAAAAAAATTATTCATTCTTTTATTCATTCCTTTAGTCAGTCACTCATTCATTTATTCATTCATTCATTCATTCATTCATTCATTCCTCCGGCTTGCATGGTTCAGAATTGGTAGAGCTACGCATCAATGAATTTGCTCTTCAGTGTTTGGACTCTCAGTAATGACTTTAAACCACACTGAACTAAACTGAACTGAACTTAAACACTTAAAACTTAACTAACCTGATCCAGTTACTATGACCATTTATGTGAAGCTGCTTTGACACAATCGACATTGTAAAAGCGTTATACAAATAAAGCTGAATTGAATTGAATAGAAAAATTCATTCATTTTTTCCTTTTTCATTCATTTATTTATTCATTAATTTAGTCACTTATTAATTCATTTATTAATATAATTATTTATTTGTTCGTGCGTTTGTTTGTTAGTTTGTTCATTTAATCTATTCGTTCATGTATGTATTTATTTAGTAATTAATTAATTTATTCATTCATTTGTTCATTAATTTGTTCATGTATTCATTCATTTGTGCATGTATTTATTCATTCAGTTATTTATTAATTTCTTTATTCATTAATTTATTTTTTTATTTATTCGTTCAGTCAGTCATTCTTTCATGCATTTATTTAATTACTAATTTATTAATTTATTTGTTTATTTATTTACTCACTTATTCATTCATTCATTCATTCATTTACTAATTTATTCCTTTATTCATTCAATTATTCACTCATTTATTTATACATTCCTTCGTTCATTTATTTATTCCTTTTTAATTTGTTTGTTCGTTCGTTCATTCGTTCACTCACTCATTTATGTATGTATTTATTAATTCATTAATTCTTATGTTCATTCATTTATTTATTTATTCATTTATTTATTTGTCCATGCATTTGTTTGTTCACTCACTCACTTATACATTCATGTATGTATTTATTTATTAATTTGTTTATTCATTTATTTTTTTATTTATTTGTTTATTCATTCATTTATTCATTCATTTATTTATTTTTTCATTCATTTTTTTACATTTTTCATTTATTTGTTAATTCGTTTATTTTTTCATTCATTTATTCATTCATTTATTTATTCATTCGTTTATTTTTTATTAATTTATTTATTTTTTAATTGATTTTTTCAGTCATTTATTCATTCATTCATTTATTCATTTATTTATTTTTCATTGATTTATTCATTAATTTATTTTTTATTCATTAATTTATTTTATCATTCATTTATTCATTCATTTTTTTTTTTATTTTTTTTTTTATTCGTTTGTTTATTTATTCATTTATTTTTTTATTTATGTGTTCATTCATTCACTCACTCAATCATTTATTTATGGATGTATTTATTTATTTTTTCCATTAATCATTCGATAATTAATTTATTTACTCATTTATTCGTTCATTTATTTATTCGTTCAGTTATTTATTTATTCATTTATTTGTTAATTCATTTATTTTATCATTCTTTTTTTTATTATTTATTCGTTCACTCACTCATTCATTCACTCTTTTATTTCTGTACTGGTGTAAATGTTTTCTAGTTTAAGGAGTTTGGTTTGGATGGAAATGAGCTCTGGCTCGCTGTGAGCGCAGACAGGCGTGTCAGCATCTGGGCTGCTGATTGGACGGATAATAAATGCGAGCTGCTTGATTGGCTGACGTTTCCAGCTCCCAGCCCACGAGAGGTAATTGGGACATTTAGCCAAAAAATACAGATTTATTTACATGTTTTATACTAGCTCAAATGTCTATTTTGTTTGTGTTAATCAGGATTTACACACGTTGCCACCCAGTCTGGCAGCATTCAGCCCAAGTCAGAGAGGAGTTGTGGTTTACACCGGTTATGCTATGGAAAAAGAGATCATCTTTTACAGCCTTTACAAAAAACAGGTACTTAAACACATGGATGGACTGATATAAAATGGGATATAATGATGAACTGCTGACTTGTTGAAAATCTTTTCAAATATGTGACCATTCAAATGAGTTGAGATGCCAGATATCAGGGGTCACCACAGCGGAATGAACCGACAACTACTCCAACAAATATTCTGTTTTTACGCAGCGGATGCCCTTCCAGCTACTACTGGGAAACATCCATACACTCTCACATTCACACACAAGCATACACTCTCACATTCACACACACTCATACACTACGGCCAATGTAGATCCAATTCACCTATAGCGCATGTCTTTTTACTGTGGGGGAAACCGGAGCACCCAGAGCAAACCCACGCCTGTACCTCCTTATTTGGAGTTTAAATGAATGATTCTCTAAAGTGAACTGACAATCTTAAGAAACAATTATATGGTAATTTAGGCACATCTTACCGCTAAATTAAACTTTTTAATGTCTGTGTCTAATCAAAATGTGCAATGTTTGTTTTTCTAGTGCACATTGTTGTTCTTTAGGTGAGCAATTCATCTGCGTAAGTTAACCCACCCTAAAGAACAGTCAAATCATTGTGCTTCTCCGTTTGATTCGTAGCCGCGACCCTTTTACCGTTAGTTTTCCATGAGGGAATGATGCTCAAAACAAAGCCCCGCCCCGTACTCAATATTCGGTTCCAGTTGGAAGTACATCAATATACTGAAATAAAAGTCTCAGCAACTTCTCTTTCAAGTGGACGTTACAGTATTGTTCACAAGCGCAGTGCTTCTGAGTTTACAGCGGTAACCTATGAAACTGCTGTTCATAAGCGCCACCTGCTGGCAGAGAGTGGGTCTAAGGCTCATTCAGCTTGTCTGTTTAATGTAGTAGGTCAGTAGTTTCACAAAACTATGGTTTTCCTTTAAATCCCTATAATATATAGTCTAATTCAGATGACAAATTGCTCTTGTTACATGTGTGCTGCATTTTTGTTTGTATCATGATCAAAATACAGTGGTTGCTCTCATTTTAAAGGGGACCTATTATGCAAAAATCACTTTTATAAGAGGTTTAAACACAGTTGTGTGACAGGAGTGTGTGAATATAACCAGCTCATAATGGTAACCATTTATTAATTTTATTTGTTGTAATGTTTTATTTGTTATAATTTGTTGATTTGTTTAACTTCTATTTGGGTTTAGTTTTAATATTTAAATTACTTTTGTTAAATTTCAATTTCACAAAGAAACATGCAGCTAAACCTTAATAAAAGGACACCTTTTTATTTACTTTGTGATATGAATAATAAAATAAAGTACAGTAAAGGGACAGTTCACCCAAAAATGAAAATGTCTTCTCTCACCCTCAGTTGGTTATAATCCTTTATGAGTTTTTTGTTTTGTTTTTGTTTTTTAACAAAAAAAGAAGATATTTTGAAGAATGCTGAAAACTTGTAACCATTAATTTCCAAAATAGGAAAAACAAATAAAATGGAAATCAATACATTCCAGCATTTTTCTAAATATCTTCTTTTGTGTTCAAAAGAACAGCCAAACTCAAACAGGCTTGGAACAATTAAAAGGACAGTAAAATATATCAAAATGTTCATTTTTGTGTGAACTATCCTTTTATTACAAACATGAACTGTTTTAAAAACGTTTTAAACTTGTAAAACTCCTTCTTGAGGTGCAGATGATTCCAGAGAGCTGATTTGTTAATCCCTGTTGCTTTCCGCACGTCCTGTCTTGTGGATATGTTTAGAAGCATTACTATGGAGACATGTTAATATGCGGCTGTCAATCAAATCAGTGGGTGGGGAAACCGCACTCCTACGTCACGTTGCGGTTGGCCTCAGAATTGCAGGGATTTGGATCGTATTTTAACGTCAGGAAAGTTAAAAAAAGAGACTTATTGGGTTTCTATTACTCTGATATGACTGTGGACATACTATACCTACACACAGTCCTGTCCAAACAGCTTACACAAGATTATTTTCATCAGAGATGCCCCTTAAATCTTATTTTGTTAAAAAAAAGATGTGAGAAAATTGATTCATGAATTGAATTGTGAGTTCAGTGTATCCAGGGTGTCCGCGGGGCCTTAAAAAGTATTAAAAGTTTATAAATCAATTATGAGAAAATTAAGACCCTTAAAAGGTATTAAAAATCTTAGGGTGCTTTCACACTTGGTTCAATTGCGTGGACCGTACCCAAGTTGGATTGTCTCCCCCTGTCACCTCCTCGGTTGGTTTGTGTTCACACTGTCTTTTTTCCTTCTGAACCCCGGTACACTTGCGTCATCGAGCTGCTGTTTTGTTTACGGCCGTTGCTAGGTGACGGTCACGAAAGCAAGCGCCGAAATGGAAAGACATCCACACATGTCGGTCATTCAGCTTTAACTGAAGCCTTTGGTTTGGGACATACAGAAAGCGACTCGTGTCCATCTGCCGCAAACATATTATACACATTCAGAACATCACACAGTGTCTACAGAAGCTGTTTTGGAGGAGACAAGCAGACATCACTGTGTACCACTGTGTTTGCCCTGGCTCAGTCCCTCGTGTCACCAAGGTGTGAAATGTGACACACTCACACACACACACACACACACACGAACGAATGTTATGAAAGCGATAGTTTGTTGTACAGTTGGCGGTTCAATTCCGTGATTTGTTACGATTGCATTCACATCAGAAGTGAACCGTACCCCAGACCACCTCTTTCAGGCGGACTCTAGTTCGGTTCACAGGTGCGCACCCGAGTTCAGAAGACATGTTCACACTAGCTAAACGCACCAGACTATGATATCAAACAAACCCTATGGGGGACCAAAAGTGCTAGTGTGAAAGCACCATTAATCTCGTTTTTACGAGGTTTTAAATATTGTTCAAGTGTTTTCTAAAGTGTTTGACTCCAAAAAAGCCTAAATATATTTATTTACTAATATTAACAATGGCGTGCTCGATCCACACAATCAGTTCGGGCCGGGCCAAGCTTTTCCATCTGGGTTAGGTCACATAATTTGCCACAAATGCGAGAAGGTGATGTGACGCTCTCCACATGTAGCGAAACCATAGAGTGAAACAGACTACAAAATGGGAAAATGTAAGTTTGCGTACTCCTAGTTGGAGGAAGACCAGTTTAAACAGTGGCTGAAGCCTGTCGCTGAAAACATCCGCGTAATTTATTCCTTCAAGCTTTGTTTCTTCCGAGTTTATCTGAGTTCTGTTGGCTTATTTAACCACAACTGTATATTGAGTTAAAGGTTTGATACTGATTAGAACTTAAATGGCGATGAGGTCTTAAAATATTCTGTGAAGGTCTTTAAAAAGTCTTAAAAAGCTATTAAAATTTCCTTTAGGACAACTGCATGTACCCGAGTATTCTTACATCCCTAGGCCCTCTTGACTTTTATAACCATTGCGTGAACCTCAGTTTTCTCCTCAAAATTTTCATCTGCCGAACAAGATAATGATGAATAGTTTTTGTGTGTGTGTGTGTGTGTGTTTTTCAGATTGTGAGGACGATCTCTCTCTCCGACTGGGCTCTCAGTCTCTGCTTATCTGGAAAACTGCTCGCTGTTGGATCAAACCGTTAGCGCTTTGCTTTATAACCATAAAAGCATAATGTTTATAAGTTCTACGTTCGTCTAACAGTGTTGTGCTTTGTGTTTTCAGAGCGCGTCCTGAATCTCATTCATTCCTCCAGTGGTCGCTTCCAGGATTTTACGTCTCACAGCGACTCCGTTCAGGTGTGCAGCTTCAGCATTTCTGGATCCCAGCTCTTCACCGCTGCTCACAATCAGCTCCTCCTGTGGACTGTAAATGGGTTGTGATGCTAGCACAACACTCATGCTAACGCTACATCCTTACCCTTTTTAAACGATTAATAGTTTTACTCCTCGCAGTTCAGATTGCGTAGTTGTTTTTTATAGAAATGCACTGATGTCAGAGCAGTTCTGTATCCAGTTAGCAAGACTTGAAGTTTTAATGACTGGTGTTTTTGTACTTGTTTTTATATTAATTTTAATACATTTGAAAGATGGTGCTTTTAGGATTATTATTTTTACGTTTTACAATGTTCAAATGCCCTGATATGGTCATGCACTTTAAAATTTATAATTAAAGTTCATAAAAACTGTGATATACTGATGTTTTCATTGAATAAAACCAGTGATATGGGGCTCTATTTTAACGATCTACTGTAGGCGCCAGGTCTAAAGCGCAGGGCGCAAAAGCATTAAGGCTGTGTCTGAATCCACTTTTGCCATTTTAAGGATGGAAATTCAGCTCTGCGCCCTGGCGCATGGTCTAACAGGGTTGTGCTTATTCTCTTTATGAGTTCTGAGTGTGTTTTGAGCATAACATGCATTAAACCAATCTCATCTCTCATTCCCTTTAAGAGTCAGTTGTGTCGCGCCAAGCCGCATTTGCTATTTACATGTTGGACTTTGTAAGTGGAAAAACTGAACGCTTCACTAGCGAGAAAACAGTAAAACAGAGCATCTGCAGCACGAGGATAAAGAACAAGCCTCCTTCATTCAGCCTCTTTACTTTCTCTTTACTTTATTTTTACTCTTTGCTCCTGTACTTTCGTATAGGGAAATGTGTTGTACGCACTCCACTGATGACATCCATTAGTCTACATGTTTAATTTAGTTTTTTAAACTCAAAGATTTGCTTCAAAACTATTTCTAAATTCAGTTTCCAGCAAAATAATAAATGAACAATAATAATGAAGTGTGGTTAAACAACTGAGTTATATCTAGGGCTTAATTTGTCCTGGAACAAGTCGGATCTACATCTGGCACCTCATCCACCCCTCGCTCTTCACTTTCTTTTTTTGTGGATTCAATGGCGGCTTTTTGTGGATCAATGGCGTCTATTTCAGTTTTTTAAAATAGCAATGCGCCAACAATGTGCCTTAGAACACCTTCTTTTTAGACCAGCACACCAAGAGTCCACAAAGTGGCGCAAATGGATTTGCTGTTTAAACAACGTGATGCAGAATGTGACCATATCAAAGAATCAGACCATAGATGTCTTGCGCATTATTGCGCCAGCTGGATGATAGGCCCATAGAGTTATAGTAAAACTGATTTTGTCACTAAACCTAAATTTTTGTGTATTCCAAACTACACAACACTATTCAGGTCGTAAATGTACATTTTAATAGTATATAATACAACAGAATAGAAAAGCCTGTTTTAATATTTTATTATATGAAGGATTCATTTCTTAATTGTTTTAATTTGATTTTTTTTTTTTTTGTACAAGTTAAAAAAAAAGTAATGGTTTTGATGGGGAATTGTAAAGTAATAGTAGTAATAGCTTGTTTTTTGTTTGTTTAAATCTTTTAATACATTTGACTGATTTTTAATACTTTGTAGAAATTGTTGCTTTTATTTGTAATCATTTTACACTTTAAAATGATCTTGCTTGTATGAAATACTCTGAAATTGTCATATATGTCAAAATTAATTGTTTAAATATGCAAATAATCGCAATAAATGATATGCATTAATAATGTTAAATGATATTCTAACTAATGTAAGCTTTAAATAAAGTCACTGACTGTTAATACAATTAAACCAATATGATCACTCTTATATTTACTTTCATTAATATGTTGTTAATAAGAAGGCAATGCTTGGCAATGTAAATTACATCAAAATATTATGATTAGTACATGAATTTTGTTTAATGTGATGCTGTATTAATTAAATTAATATTTTTTCATACTTTTAAAGATTTATTTATTAATTTTATTAATTATTATAAATTTTTAAAGTATTTAATTTTAGTATTTATTACTCTTTCAGTTTAAAATGGGCTAGTTGGTATATGCGAAAATGCCTTTATTTAATCCCCGTTAGGTTATTCATTCAGTCAGTTAACAGAGCTATATTGGCCTCATTGTTTAATTAACAACAAATTATGTGACCCACTATGTGAAAAACACCGAAATATGCAGAATACAGTAGATAAAACCTATCAAAAACATGAAAATCCGAAGTTTATTCAATTAAAACGACAAAAAAACGTACAGTAGAGGGCGCTCCATTTGGGCTCCTACCGGAAGTGAGTAGAGCGGCCAGTTTCTTTGGATGGAATGGGGCTAGTCGGAAACTAGCACTGAGCTTTGAATTGAATTTGAAGTTTTTGGTCAAGATAGTCGCGACTCGTCGGAGAGTTCATTAGAGAGCGGACTGAAATGAAACGCGATGTCCGGATACTGCTGTTGGGGGAACGTAAGATATTACTGCTTTTATCTATCAAGGGAAAGTAAACGTGACAGTTTAATGAAAGTTAGCATGATTAGAGAGAGCTAACCTCAACCTTGAGCTGCTGCAGACGAGATGTAAAGTAAACACACTACTCTCTTGGCTTATTCGTGCTTTTGAATCCTTCATTTTGCTTTAATGTGCTGTTTGCATCATGCATAAATCAAAACACACGATAATTAACTTTATTGACAAGTGGACAAGTTTACCTGTGCAAGATTACAGGCTAATGACAGTTCAGGAGTTTAGCAGATAACTTGCATCTTATATTTATGTGTAACTCGTTACACAGTGATTTGTTTTGTATCGAGTGAAGTCTAATCTATTAGTTGTGATGGGTGTTTCATTTTAAATTGAGTTTGTCTGCAGAGTATATTTGCTCATCCTGACAGATTTCATGTTTATTTCTCTGACTTCAGGAGATTAATGAGGGTGAATTGCAGAAAATGTTTCAATACTTTTAATAAAATGCCAGAAAATGACAATTATTCAAAAATAGAGGTAAAGTTGGTTTTATATTCGCACATTCAGACTTTCCCCTTAATAATATAGTTTCATAAAAGTATTATTTGCAAACTCTAAATAGCGAAATCCTATTAGCAGCCAATGACTATAAAAGTACAACATTGTTCACAGTGAATTAGATAATGTTAATGTTGTCTAGAAGTCATACTTGCATGCTAATTCCAATCAAATATTCAACGTAACGTGGTAAACAATATAGAGACTTCTAAATGAATGAATGTGTGAATATAAAACCAACTTTAACTCCATTATTCAAATACAAAACTGCTTCAAATAGTACAATAAATACTTATTAACGCCATACATGTTCAATTAAAGCTTATTTGTATAGTGCTTTTCACAATAATTACTGATCCAAAGCAGATTTACAAAAGTTGCATGTTATTAGGAGGGCCAGATAGAATCTGCGGACGTTTTTTGCTATTTCTGTGGAGAATTTTGGTAAGAATCTGTGGATTTCTGCGGAATTATTTTGGGAGTATCCAGCGGAGTATCATAACTTACACTTTAATATATTAAATAAAAATAAATTAATTAATAAATAAATAAAAAATAAATGACTAAATAAGAACTAAATTAATTCCGATTTACACATTTACTCGAGTAAATAAACAGAATTTAGAATGGGCTAAAAAACTGCAGAAATCTGCGGAAAATCTGCGGAATTCTGCGCGCGCTGATTCTGTGTGGGCCTAATTATTAGTATTACATTAAAGTCAAAATCAGAAAGTTAAGATGGTGTGTATAGGGTGTACAGCTTCCCCAAAAGGTGATATCTATAGGTGTTAACATTCTTAATAGTGATCTTTTGCATTGCTTAAATAGGTCGAGGTGTACATACACGACCCATGCCGGAAGTTGAAATTAGGCCCAATAAATTAGTCACTTACAAAATAGGCCTGCACAAAATATAGTTTCTGCATGGATATTGCAATGTGTGCATTTACGATGTTGAGATGGGATTATAATCAGTGCAGAGTTCGATCATGATCATCTGCATTTGTTTTTAACGAGATGGCTCACCCAAATCTTAAATGTTTCATGCTGTACACAAAAAGATGATAATATAATAACTTAAAAATGTTTGAAACAAGTGAAGCGTGAGTAAATATTTGTAAAATATGAGTATTTTTGGGTGAACTATCCCTTAAATGCTTGTGACTATGTGAACAATTTAATATTGCAGAGTTGAAAACATTTTGCCATAAGAAATTATAATGTTTGTAACTTTAATAAAGATGTACACTGAAGACTATGCAGTGTTGATTGATTAATGTCTGTACTTGGATAATGTTAGACTCTCCAGACTTTAATTCACTTTCTAGCTTTGCTATATTGTATTTATCTCTGCTAGTAATTTATTTGTTTTATATTATTAGAGACTCGCTCTTCTAAAAAACCACCCCTAATCAATCTAAAATGAAGAATTACTTCCAAATAAAGCTGCTATCTGGTGAAATTGTATGCACACTGTAATGTTTAGAGCATATAAATAGCGTATATAAAAATACAAAATATTGCAATGTCAGATTTTTCCAATATCTCCATTACAAATTCCTATTCCCTATTCCAGCCCTATTGCAAATGTGAGACTTTCTCCAGAAGAAAAAAAAATTCCATGCTCTGTTAAACATCCTTTGGGAAATATATATATATATATATATATACACACGAATGAGACTTGTGAATGTGTGGTGCATATATTGATAATTAAGGTGTTGGCATGGTAACTATCAAGGTGTGGAGTTTGTGCCTAGTTAAACATCAAATGAACTTGAAGTGTAAACAGATCCTTCCACCTGTGACTGTGACACAATGCACGTATTCCCTGAGAGCCATAAATTATACTAATATACGGATTTTTAGTCATCAAGAAACATCTATTGATATCTAGCTTCACTTTTTTTGAAAAAGTGTAATATTTTCAGGATTTGTTGATAGTGGAAAGAAAGTTTAAAACAGCATTTCATGTTTGTAATATGTGTACATGTTAGTTAGTTACTTAGTTAGTTACTTAGTTAGTTACTTAGTTAGTTAGTTAGTTAGTTAGTTACTTAGTTACTTAGTTACTTAGTTAGTTATTTACTCAGTTAGTTACTTGGTTAGTTAGTTAGTTAGTTACTTAGTTAGTTACTTAGTTACTTAGTTACTTAGTTAGTTAGTTAGTTAGTTACTTAGTTACTTAGTTACTTAGTTAGTTACTTAGTTAGTTAGTTACTTAGTTACTTAGTTAGTTATTTACTCAGTTAGTTACTTAGTTAGTTAGTTAGTTACTTAGTTAGTCAGTTAGTTACTTAGTTAGTTAGTTACCTAGTTAGTTAGTTACTTAGTTAGTTAGTTACTTAGTTAGTTAGTTACTTAGTTAGTAGGAATGCAACGATTATATATTTTGGTAGCACGATTATAGTCTGAGGAATAATCACGGTTTCACGGTTATCACGATTATTATGCAATTTTAATTTCAATACACTACTATTAAATCACATGAAAACTCCTTATATTTTAAAGTGTTGCTTATTGCTGCTTAGTAACCAATTAATACAGCACAAAAATAAAAAATAAAAAACTAACAATCTCTTTGCACTTAAACAGGTGAAAAAAAGTTTTTGGCATTTGAACAAGTAATAATTTTACACTGAAAATAAATGACAGAACACTGCATAAATAAATCAAAATAAATCAAATGTATTTGTCTAATGTAAATCTAAGCTACATATTAGCTAAGTATTTCTCTTTTAAAGAAAACAAATGTAGTTAAAGGCTGCTGAACCTCTGTTTGAAAGGCACTTTTAATCTATGTTACAAAATTGTTTGGCTTTTTTCATTATTTTTTTTCCTCTTTGGAGTAGAAATGTGTATATTCTATACAAAGTATAAAATGGCAAACCGGGTGCCACTCCTGTCAGCTAAGAACAGGAAACTGAGGCTACAATTCACACAGGCTCACCAAAATTGGATTGCAGTATACATGCATTATAGTTATCAAGATATGAGATGTTTGTCATATTGCCCAGTCCTAGTTGTGTTTATTGGAAATAATAATATTTTTATTCTTTGTTTTTATTTGTAGCCAAAGTGGGAAAGACGTCTCTCATCATGTCTCTGGTCGGAGAGGAGTTTCCTGAGCAGGTGAGATTTCTACCATGAGCTTTTGCTGCTGATGCTGTCTGTGTGTTTGACTGATGAGACTAAAATGAGTGTGTGTGGCGTCAGGTTCCTCTCCGGGCCGAGGAGATCACCATCCCTGCAGACGTCACGCCGGAGAAAGTGCCCACACATATAGTCGACTATTCAGGTGCGGCTACATTTCACACACGCGTTTCAATTCATATTTCTAAGCCACTTAAACTTATTACATGTCATATTTCGCCAGTAATATGTTATTAATACTCAGTGTCTCTTAAACAGAGAATGAACAGACTGATGAAGTGTTGAGGGAGGAAATCGTCAAGGTAAGAAGTGTCTTAAAATAGTGTTAATAAATTGTAATAGTACATTGAATTGATAATATAAGCAATGCCACATGATTCTTCAGTTGTAACTTTGTTTTGCTGTTGCTCTCAAATAATATCAAGTGTTATCGGTGCTTTAAACATTTAAATTAAATGTGGAAGCTTGTTGTTTTTGTGGATTTAATTTTTAAAAGAACAGCAATTAGTTGTAATTGTGATTTAATGTGGTTCATTTTAAGTGTCCTTACCAGTTTTGGAGCGATTTAATGCATCTTTTTTTTTTTTTTAAATTCAGAATAAATTAAAATAATAATTGCAAAATATTTTTAAAATAATAAAATATTGAATATTTAAAAAGTACTAAAATATTTATACAAATATTAACAAAATAATATATTGAGTTTACTATATTTAATTATTTATACCAATATTAACAAAATAATATAACATTAATTTTAATATATTTATTTATACACATATTAGCAGAATAATATAACATTAATTTAGTATATTTAATTATTTGTATAAATATTAACAAAATAATATATTAATTGTAATATATTTAATTATTATACAAATATTAATAAAATAATATAATATTATTTTTAATATATTTAATTGTTTATACAAATATTACCAAAACAATATAACATTAGTTTTAATATATTTATTTATTTGTACCGATATTAACAAAGCAAAATAACATTAATTTTAATATATTTATTTATGCTGATATTTACAAAATAATACGACATTAATTGCTTAATATAATTATTTATTCATACAGATATTTACAAAATAATATAACATTCATTTTAATATATTTATTTATACAAATATTAACAAAATAATACGACAATAATTTTTATATATTTATTCATAAAGATATCAACAAAATAATATAACATTAATTGCATAACATATTTATTTATACAGATATTTACAAAATAATATAACATTCATTTTAATATATTTATTCATACAGATATTAACAAAATAATATAACATTCATTTTAATATATTTATTCATACAGATATTAACAAAATAATATAACATTCATTTTAATATATTTATTTACTTATACAGATATTAACAAAATAATATAACATTAATTGCCTAATATAGTATATTGATTCTCATATAATCATCTGACACTGAAGACGAAATTGAGGCTGAGAAAAAGTTATCAATATAATGCTGTTTTATCTTTAAATGTTTGTGCTTTTATTGTATTTTAAATGTCATTTTTTATTGTTGTCATATTATTTCTTTCTTTTATAGGCCAATGTGGTGTGTGTGGTTTATGATGTCACGCAAGAGGAAACCATTGACAAGGTATCAGTTTTTTCTGATGTTATCTAAATGTTTTATGTTATAGAACGGTGTTATCATTTTACGTTATCAATATATTTGTTTTATTTTTTTTGGAACTAATTTCATTCTCTTTTTTTTTTCTCAGATCAGGACTAAGTGGATTCCTCTGGTGAACGGAGGCGCTGAAAAGGGAAGCAAGTATGTCTCTGAAGCTCATACACATTCATCACTGTTGTTGGGGAATGAACAATGACTATTTTCATTTTTCCATAGGATTCCCATCATCCTCGTGGGCAACAAGTCTGACCTGCGCTCTGGCAGCTCCATGGAAACCATCCTGCCAATCATGAACCAGTTCTCAGAGATTGAGACCTGTGTAGAGGTTTGAATCCCTGAACACTCAAATACTGTTATAGTAATATTTTATTCTTTTTTAAATATTTCCCAAATGATGTTTAACAGAGTAAGGAATTTTTTACAATATGTCTTATAATATTTTCTCTTCTGGATAAAGACTTCTTTGTTTTATTTCAGCTAGAATAAAAGCAGTTTTTAATTTTTTAAACACTATTTTAGGGACAAAATTATTAGCCCCTTTAAGCTATATTTTTTCTCGATAATCTACATAACAAACCACTGTTATACAAAAACTTGCCTAATTACCCTAACCTGCCTGATTAACCTAATTAACCTAGTTAAGCCTTTAAATGTCACTTTAAGCTGTATAGAAGTGTCTTTAAAATTATCTAGTCAAATATTATTTACAGTCATCATGGCAAAGATAAAACAAATCCATTATTAGAAATGAGTTATTAAAACTATTATGTTTAGAAATGTGCTGAAAAAATCTGCTTTCCATTAAACAGAAATTGGGGAAAAAATAATTCAAGGGGGGCTAATAATTCTGACTTTAACTGTATAAATATATATGGATATTAGTTTTTGTTTTTCCCAGATTTTAACATTAAAAAATAGACTTGTTTAATTGCATTAGATTTTTCACCTTCTTTTTGACACTAAAGTTTAAGAAATGTATTATTTCTCTTTTTTTTTTTTTTTTTTGCAAGATATAGTGTTAGTCACAGTTATCTGCAGAGATTCAAAGCACTGTTTTTGTGAGTCTCTTTTGAATGGTAATTAGTTGCTGCTCCCGCCTCCTTTCCAGTAGAGGGCGGAGCCTTTACAGCAGGGGTCTCAAACTCAATTTACCTGGGGGCCGCAGGAGGCAAAGTCTGGGTGAGGCTGGGCCGCATAAGGGATTTCACAAAAAAAACGTCCTCAAATGTCATTATTAACAGTTTTAATTATTTCTTCTGAACATGAAGTGTCCTGAACATTAATAGAACATTGAGTGAAGATTATGAACAGTTCTTCTGAACATGGCATCTTTTGCCTACTTCTTGCTGCCAGAGACTTGACAGCGCTTCTTCTCACAAATCTGAACCACATTTGGCTTTAGAGCGGAAGCAGTTGAAACCCTCAGAATGGCTTGAAGATGATCATCATTAAGTCTAGACCTGTACTTTGACTTATTGAAGTCCTAGGGAAAAAAGTGGGGGAACTCACTCAAAACTTCCATTCCCTCACCTAAAAAAAAGGCGTATATATGTATAAAAAAAACACCCCCACCCCACTCCATTCACATCAGTCTGTACCAGTCTGTATCTACCTATAATATATATAAGATGCAGGGCAGGCACGTGCACACATAGGGCTCAACCTGTGCAGAGCACATGCCCTTTTTAGTCTTGCATAGAAAGTGCCCTTGATCAAAAATGCCCCCGCGACACGATACACCCTCGGTCCCGCCCTTCAGTAGGCGCGCAATAACACCGCTCTTGAGTACGCGCGCGACAAAACAGCTGATCAGAACGCGCGCGACAACGCCCCTTTGTTTACACGGCGGGCGGGGAATGCCAGTGACCGCTGTGTACGGATAGAATCAGCGGAGCGGGGAGCGCTCTCTCTCCCCGCTCCGCTGATTCTGTCAGTGTACAGCGGTCGGCGCGGGCCACAAAATATTGCACTGAGGGCCGCAAATGGCCTGCGGGCCGCGAGTTTTAAACCCCTGCTTTACAGTTTGTTCCTCAATTGCTCTTAAAAAACTAAAGAAAACATTTTCATGCACTTTAGGCCCCGTTTACACTAGTGCGTTTTAGTTTTAAAACTGTGTTTTAGAATGAAACGATCCGCCTCCACACTAGTGCTTCACCCAGTGTTTCTGAACAAATCTCCGTCTACACCAAAACACTAAAAACGCAGATCACCTGACCACACACACACACTCTCTGGCATGCGATGCAGCCTATCTACCCAGATGAGAGCTGTGCTCGGAGTGTTCATCAAGGATCTCCCGCTGGATCTAATCTCACTATATTTGCTAAATTTGATATTTAACTCATCTTGTTTTTTTTCTAACAACATATTCCCCGACTTTGGTCTTTTGAATCTATTACTTATTCTCGGGTAACGTGTTTTGGCTGAGCGCAAAGATAAATTAATAATTAATGTAACCACGTACATTCTGTATATTGAGTGATCGCTTGCCTTTATTTCCTATAATGTATAAACTTATTGAACGTTTTACTTTATAATGGCCATTATTGATTATTAAAACTGATATTCAGCAAAAGAGAGGGTGTGGTTCGTATTTAAAATGAAAGAAGGCAGTGTTGTTATAGGCTCCGTTTTGTTATAAATATGCATACAGTGAAGACGACTCTCGTATATGCAGCACAACGCCTCAACATTTCTGCTGTCTGTTAAGTTGTAAACATCACAATGAAAATAGCAGTTCCTTAATATTTTTGTTTTATTGTTAAGAAAGTGAAACAATGTAGCCAGCATGATGTGAATAAGGTTATAAGTACACCGTTCCCTTTGAAGATTTACCCGACATGTTCTCGGGAGTCTGTTTTCCATATTAAACTTGCGAAATCTGAACTTACAAGGAGAGGATGCAGAACTTTAACTGTGTGTAGGCTACTTAATATTGAGGAAAAGCCCCAATCAGAGAGGCGAATGTCGACAGCCCCGCCTCCGTTTTTAGATGTCTCTGTTTTCCCTCATCCACACTGAGACGGAGCAGCAGTGTTTTAGGATGAAAACGGCCTCTTCAGCGTTTCCAAAACTCTCCATTCTTGGCGCTCGAAAACTCCGGCGTAGTGTGGACGGATGGCGTAACCGTAGCAAAACTTTTGCGTTTTCAAACTAAAACGCATTAGTGTAAACCGGTCCTTAGTTCTTTCTCAGATTGTCAGACAACACCTGTATATACATTTGTATATAGCTTCATGCAATGTGTGGATTTATGATGATGATGTATGTTTCTGCAGTGCTCGGCTAAGAATCTGAAGAATATTTCTGAGCTCTTCTATTACGCTCAGAAGGCCGTTCTTCATCCCACTGCTCCTCTATACGACCCTGAGGACAAACAGGTACACACACACACACACAATTGTACAGCTATGTTTATGGGGACGTCCCGTAGATGTAATGATTTGAACAGACTGAAAGAACCCATAACTCCGCCCTCACAGGAAGCAATCTGCATTTCTACATTTTCAAAATACTGTGTGGATTATGAGGCCTTTTTTTAAAAAAAATTCCATAGAAAGTACAAATGTACTCATTATTGTGATACTTGTGTGGGCATTTGGTCCCTACAATGTGAGGAATACAGGGTACACATGCGTACAACAGGGATAATAAGTATTGAACACGTCACCATTTTACTCAGAAAACCTATAGGTGTCATTGACTTGAAATTTTCCCTGATGTTGGTAACAACCAAAGAAATCCAAATACGCAAAGAAACCAAAACTATTTGGTTTACAAATGAAGTTATGCGAAATAGAATGAAATGACGCAGGGAAAAACTATTGAACACATGAAGAAAGGGAGCTGTAATTCGGCAGTGAAAGCCCAGACAGCAGCTGAAATCTCTCAGTAGTTCTTCAACAAGCCTCTGCCCTTCCTCAGTGTAATTGATTATCAGCTGCTTCAGTCCAACATCTACATCAGCAGGAGAATGAAGATGAAACCAGGGTGGACCTTTTAGCAAGACAATGATCCAAAACGCAGCCGAGGAAACTCGAATGCTTTTAGAGAAAGAAAATCAAGCCGTAGAATGGCCCAACCAATCACCTGACTTGAATCCAAAAGAAAATACAACTTAAAGCTCAGATTTGATAGATGAGACCCACAGAACCATCAAGATTTTGACACTCTGTTGAAGTCTGTGAAAAACTCACACCTGAGCAATGCATGTGACTTCATTCTCCATATGAGAGGCGTGTTCAAGCTGCCATCATTAAAAAAGCCTTTATAGAAATAATTAAAAACATTTTAGTAGTGCAGTTCTCTCTCCTTGTGTCATTTCATTGTTATTACACACAACTCATTTTCCAGAGTGTGTATTATTTTTATGTTTGTATTGTTTGGGTTTTTACTAAAATCAATTTCATGTCAACAGCTCCTTTAAAAATATTAATCCCAGGAAAAAAGCATGACATGTTCAATACTTATTTTCCCCACTGTGCACAAGCATATATACAGACACACGATACTTCATACACAAGTCTTTTCACCTTGAGTTCATATGTCTTTATGAGTGTGTGTGTGTGTGTGTGTGTGTGTGTGTGTGTGTGTTTGTTTGTAGTTGAAGGCGCAGTGTGTTCGGGCTCTGAGTCGGATCTTCAGCATCTCTGATCAGGATAATGACCATATACTCAGTGACGCTGAACTCAACTGTTTTCAGGTCAGCTGATAAGCTGCAGATTGCAGATTGCATTAATCAGCAGAAACAAAAAATGTACAGTAGGATTTAGGACATTTAGGATAACAGTTATTAAACAGACCCCCCCCCCCCCCACCACCACCTTTATGTCAGCAGAAAAAAGTGAATATTATGAATATTTTTAGTCTACATGTAATATTTTACTTACAAGTAACATGCTCTGATAAAAATATATGTGATGTAATAATTATAATTCTAATAGTTATTATAATTAATTTCTAATAATTTATTTTATATTCGTTATTTCAGGAGTTTAGAATTATTTTTAGATTAATCTAATCATTTAATTTTATTTAATCTAAATAATTATAATTTGTTCATTTTACATTAAGAGTGTTCATTATTAACTATTATTGATGCACTATAATATTATTTGAATTAAATTGAATTTCGTTTAAAGTTTTTTTTTTTTGCTGTTAAATTAAAAACATAGTTAAAGTTTTCCATTATGTTCTATTAAAGTATATTATTTATATTGTATATATTTATATATAATTAATATAGATATGTTATATATTTATTTTTATATATTTAATGTTTTATTCGTTATTTTTATTCAGTTTTATTTGCATTAAAGTGCATTTTATATGTCTTGATTTAATGTCAATCTGTGTGTGCAGAAATTGTGTTTCGGGAATCCGCTGGCTCCTCAGGCTTTAGAGGACGTGAAAACCGTTGTGTGGAAAAACACGAGCGATGGCGTTCAGGATAACGGACTCACGCTTAACGGTAATGCACATTACACACTTTCATACACACTCTTATAATTACCCTATTAATGTATGATGATTGAACATTACTCCACTCGTGTTTTGTAGGTTTCCTGTTCCTGAACACTCTCTTTATCCAGAGGGGACGTCATGAGACCACCTGGACCATCCTGCGTAAATTCGGCTACGATGACACGCTTGAGTTGACTGACGACTACCTCTATCCAGTGTAAGTTCATCACACAAACATGTTTTAAAATGTCTATTATTCTTGATAGTTTTGTCTTGGAGTCCATGGAATGTTCGCTTTTATCAAACATCAAAAAATATTATTTTATTATTACTATTATTAATTTAATAAAAAAAAAATATATATATATATATATATATATATATATATATATATATATAAATATAAATATATATATAAATATATATGTGTGTGTATATATATATATATATATATATATATATATATATATATATATATATATATATATATATATATATTATTATTATTATTATTATTATTATTAATAAATAATAGCAGCTCTTTTCTCACAGTGTCTGAAATTGTTGGTTCAAGGATTAATTTTCTCTAAGCCCCGCCTTTCTGAGAGTTTACAGTGCTCTGATTGGTCACATGGGGCAGTCTTTTGTAATTGGTTAAAACCAAATGGTTATTAGCAAATCTGAATTTCAGCACTTGTAAACACAGTGAGGCTAACAGATGGCGTCTTTGGGTGCTTTCACATCTGTGGTTCGGTCCATTTGGGCCGAAGCATGGACAAGAAATGTTACATTGTTACATTAGCATTTTCTGCCGTTTTGGGGTATTTTTCACACCAGACTGATTGCTTTAGTCCGAACCAGTTGAAAAGAACCAACATGCAGTCATGTGACAAAATCAACATCACTCATTGGCCAGATGTTATTGAATGTATTTCCTAAACTGCTTTTCGATTGTCAGAATTCACGTACAGTAAAATGCCAATGGAACTCCCGCAAGTAAACAAATTGGCAGACACAAAATGTCACTTTTTACCATGGAGAGACGACTGCCCTGGCTGATTGTATCCCTGGTCATACGTCACTGTCGGATGACGGATCTGTTCGGCGAAATATCTGACTGCGTGTCACCGCATCCCTAAGGACTGTTTGTCGAAATATTTGACTGCATGTCACTGCATATCAAACGACTTAAACGATATAAATAGAGAAATCTCCACTGTGCTGAGCGAAAGCGCTTACTGAACAGCGCAGCATCGTGCTTTGCTTGCAGCAAGCGTGCTTTGACCCGGTTCAAGGCAACTGTACATTGTGTGAGTACGCCCTTAGGGTGCTTTCACACTTGGTTCAATTGCCTGGACCGTACCCAAGTTGGATTGTCTCCCCCTGCCACCTCCTCGGTTGGTTTGTGTTCACACTGTCTTTTTTCCTTCTGAACCCCGGTACACTTGCATCATCGAGCTGCTGTTTTGTTTACGGCCGTTGCTAGGTGATGGTCACGAAAGCAAGCGCCGAAATGGAAAGACATCCACACATGTCGGTCATTCTGCTTTTGGTTTGGGACATACAGAAAGCGACTCGTGTCCATCTGCCGCAAACATATTATACACATTCAGAACATCACACAGTGTCTACAGAAGCTGTTTTTGGAGGAGACAAGCAGACATCACTGTGTACCACTGTGTTTGCCCTGGCTCAGTCCCTCGTGTCACCAAGGTGCGAAATGTGACACACTCACACACACACACACGAACGAATGTTATGAAAATGATAGTTTGTTGTACAGTTGGCGGTTCACTTCCGTGATTTAGTACGATTGCATTCACATCAGAAGTGAACCGTACCCCAGACCACCTCTTTCAGGAGGACTCTAGTTCGGTTCACAGGTGCGCACCCGATTTCAGAAGACATGTTCACACTAGCTAAACGCACCGTACTATGACATCAAACAAACCCAAATGCGGACCAAAAGTGCTAGTGTGAAAGCACCCTTAATGTATTGCAAATGGCGAAGGCGCATTGCAAGTCTCTTTAGGAGGAGGCGTAACTTAGCTAAACTGTGATATGGTCATCTTCTGGTAATATTACCAACGATCCGTCAGGTAATGTTTTTCCCTCTTGGTTTAAAATTGTTGGTAAAGCGCCATCAACAAATATTTTTCCTTCACACCCAATAAGATGGGACAGCGCATTGGACTACGGCAGCTGGATTAGTCCAAAAAGGCGCAGTACTTTTTGCGGTTGGGTCTGTTCAAGTTCAGATCATGTTGTCACCATAAACAAACCGCTCCAGGGTTTGTTTGAATACGTACTGAGACCACCTCTTCAAGGAGGTCCCGGTACACTTTTTTGGTCCGCTTTTTGGTGCGCACTCGATTCATTCACACCTGACCAAACGAACCGCACCAAGAGGGAAAACGAACTCTAGAGTGATTCAACTGAACTAAATAAGGCAGGTGTGAAAGCACCCTTTGTTGATTCTTTCACTATTTCTCGTACTTTGCGAATACATTTGATTTTGTGCGTTTGTCTTTTAGTTTTAAAAACACATTATAGGGGGCTAATATTCAAGTGTGTGTGTGTGTGTGTGTGTGTGTGTGTGTGTGTGTGTGTGTGTGTGTGTGTGTGTGTGTGTGTGTGTGTGTGTTTGTGTGTGTGCGTGCGTGTGTGTGTGTGTGTGTGTTTCCAGATTGCGAGTTTCAGTGGGCTGCACGACAGAGCTCAATCATCTCGGTCATCAGTTTCTTCTGAAGCTGTTTGAGAAGTATGACGAGGTGAGACTCCTGGATCTGATCCTCTAATGAACTTTGCGTGATTAGGGTTTGGTTGCGCTCATCATGGTGTGTTTCTCCTCCTGCAGGATAAGGATTCGGCTCTCTCTCCCGCAGAGCTCAAGAATCTGTTTAGTGTTTTACCTTACATGCCCTGGAGCTCCACGGTGTACAGTAACATCCCGCTGACAGACGACTGCTACATCTCTCAGCACGGATACCTCTGCCAGTGGATGTGAGTCAGGGTTTGTGTTTAAAGGAATCACTTTTCTGGTTGATTCTGATTGATTTGTTCATCATGAATCAGACTATGTATGGCCATTTATGATTCAGTTAAAAGAATCAGTTATTTTGTTCATTTGTTCATGAATCAGAATAAACTGATTATGCTGTATGTTCTTAATTATTTATGATTCACTAAAATTAACTAGTTCATCAGAGTCATTTGTTTGTGAATCGGAACACCGAAGTTGTGCCGTATGTTCATGATTTTCTAAAATGAGCAGTTCAGAAGAGTCATTTGTTTGTGAATCAGAACATCACAGTTGTGCCGTATGTTTATGATTCTCTAAAAAGAGTCATTTGTTTGTGCATCAGAACAGTTGTGATGTATGTTTATGATTCCCTACAAAGAGTCATTTGTTTGTGAATCAGAACACTACAGTTGGACAAATGTTTATGATTCTCTAAAAAGAGTCATTTGTTTGTGAATCAGAACACGGCAGCTGTGCAGTATATTTATGATTCTCTGAAGCGAGCAGTTCAAAATAGTCATTTGTTTGTGCATCAGAACAGTTATGATGTATGTTTTTGATTCCCTACAAAGAGTCATTTGTTTGTGAATCAGAACACTGCAGCTGTGCAGTATGTTTATGATTCTCTAAAGCGAGCAGTTCAAAAGAGTCATTTGTGAATCAGAACACTACAGTTGTGACGAATGTTTATGATTCTCTAAAAAGAGTCATTTGTTTGTGAATCTGAACATGGCAGCTGTGCAGTATGTTTATGATTCTCTAAAGCGAGCAGTTCAAAAGAGTCATTTTGTTTGTGAATCAGAACACTACAGTTGTGCCGTACGTTTATGATTCTCTGAAATCAGCCATTCATAAGAGTCATTTGTTTGTAAATCAGAATGATTCTCTAAAATGGGCAGTTCTTAAGAGTCATTTGTTTGTAAATCAGACTGCACAGGTTGCATTGTATGTTTATGATTTACCAAATGAATCACGATATTTAAATGATGTCTCATTAAATTGTCAAACTTGGGTAAAATAAGCATTAGTAAGCGTACAAGCATTCTGGCTTCATATTTGCTGAATAAACTACAGGTTATTGGCGTATCTGGATGTGCACCGGTGTTTGGAGCATCTGGGTTACCTCGGCTATCCAATACTGATGGAGCAAGAGTGTCAGACGTCCGCCATCACAGGTAATGAGATCCACACACAGTCCTGCTGTAAACCCCACATGTGTTTGATCAGACAATGAGGACTATTTCTTTCTTCTGTGTGTATGTCAGTCACCAGAGAAAAGGCTCTAGACCTGGACAATCGGCAGACTCAGCGAACTGTGTTCCTGTGTAAAGTGATTGGTCCGCGAGGAACTGGAAAAACAGACTTCCTGCGAGCGTTTCTGCAGCGCAGCACTGAGGTCAGAGAGAGTGGCTTGATGGAGAAAATAAAGATTTATTATAAAGTCTGCATGAATCTGAAGTTGCTGAGAGTTATGCCGAGTTCAGACTGCATGATTTTCAAAGTAATCGTGTCACAGATGTTTTCACACTGCATGACTGTCTGTGCTAGCGTTTTGTCGCTGCTTTGTTTACACTGCAAAATAGATCGGCGACTGGGGGTTTCACATTGCATGACTTTACAATAGGAAGAGTCGCCGACAACTATGTCCAAACTAGAGGTCTGCATAAATACATTTCCGAATAAAGAGCGGGAGCGGTCGGTAACGGGTTTAATTTGGGACGGGAGCGGGCCATCTAGCAATATCGCTCCCGACTCCCGAGCGAGCACGCGTATGTATGTGTGTGAATGAAATAGCGCGATGCTGTGTTTAGCTTGTTTGTTGCTGTGTGTGTGCGCGCACGCGCGAATGAGAGGTGGGTGTGTGCGCACGCGCGAATGAGAGGTGTGTGTGTGTGTGTGTGTGTGTGTGTGTGTGTGTGTGTGTGTGTGTGTGTGTGTGCGTGCGTGCGTGCGTGCGTGCGTGCGTGCGTGCGTGCGTGCGTGCGTACGTGCGTGCGTGCGTGCGCGCGCATTAGAGAGAGAGAGAGCTTTGCCTGTGTGTGTGTGTGCTTGGTGCTTATGTGTGTGTGTGTGTGTGTGTGTGTGTGTGCGCGCGAATTAGAGAGAGAGAGAGAGAGCTTTGCCTGTGTGTGTGTGTGTGTGTGTGTGCTTGGTGCTTATGTGTGTGTTTGTGTGTGTGTGTGTGTGTGTTAGTGCGCGCGCGCACGAATGAGAGAGAGAGAAAGCTTTGTCTGTGTGTGTGTGTGCGCTTGGTGCTTATGTGTATGTGTGTGTTTATACAGACAGCTTGTTATAGGCTGTCTGGACTCTGTATAGCTGGGTGGTTTTCGGTTTTGTTCTCCCCCCCGCTCTTTAGCTTGATCGGGCGTGGCGGGTAGAAAACGGGGCGGGTTGGGCAGTGGGACAACAAATGCTGAATGTAAGCGGGAGCGGTCGGGATCGGGCTAAAACCTGGCGGGTGCGGGCGGGAGCGGGATTAAAAATTTAGTCCCTCGCAGCTTTCTTGTCCAAACTACGTCTCACAGCCAAAAACACGTAGTATATCTTTTGATATTAACTACATAGCGAGAAAGAAGCATTTAATGGGGTAGAAAATGTACATATTTGCTCACCTGGGTTTAAAGGGAATTAGTAATTTCTCTTCAACTTTCGTTTTTTTATTTTCTGTAAGAAAATTCAAACAAACATGGGTGCTCCTGTCAAACCTCCACTAGTTTTTCCTCCATTTCTTGGGTCAGAATAAACCGAAAATGAGCGCTTTTAACTTCTCCCTCAACCTCCCGCTGGCCTGCAGGTACACACACACACACAAGTGAATGCTGCCCTCTCATTGGCTGTTGGTGATCGCCGATGTTATTTTCAGTCAAAACTCATTTCACACGGCTTGATTTGAATCGCCGACAGCTCCAGATATTCAGCACGCCAAATATCTCACAGGCATCGGCGACTCATCGGCAATTCTCTCAGATCACGTCTTCGATAATTCACACGGTGTGATTGTCACTCACGTGCACGAGCACCAATTTGCCTGTGATTTCAGGCATTTGTCGGCGATTTCTCAAAACCTGTTGGCGAGTCAAAATCGGGGCTAAAATCACGCAGTCTGAACTCGGCATTATTTGAGTATGTTGATGTACAACCCCAAATCAGAAAAATTTGTGACTGTATGAAAACACAAATAAAAAAAGTAGTGTTTTCTAAATTTACTTTGACTTTCATTTCATTGCAGACAACACAACAGCACATTATTTAATGTGTTCCTCATGATTTTATTGTTGTTTTTTTATTAATAAACATATTCCAAGTTTGGTTCTTGCAGCACATTTAAAAAAAAAAGTTGTACCAGTAAAGCATTGACCACTTTTCATTGTTGAGATTCCTTTACACAACATTTAAAAGACATTGTGAACATTTAAAAACCAGATGATGAAGTGTTTCAAGTGTAATTTTGTCCCATTCTTCCTGCATACTAATCTGAAGGTGGACAACAGGCAACGGGGTCTTCATTAGCCCCTTTCACAAAGTGATACCGGTAAATGTATGGAAAATTTCCGGAACGACTTTACCGGTAAATTTCCAATATTACACATGCGAGGACGTTACGAAATTTTTCCGGAAAAGAGCATTGATGTGTGTGTGTGTGCCCATGGGCTGTTTCATGGGCACATGCAAAGCTTGAAGGTAAACAAACAACGGCTTATCGTAAGCATCTTATCGATAATTATTTACACGGTTGGCATTAAGATGAACATAAACGTGATCTGACTAACTTCTAGCAGCTAAATGTGTCTGGTAAAATATTCTAAGGCTTTTATTCTCATAAACCGCGCGGACGTGAATGCACCTGACTGTTCTGATTGGCTAAAGCAGGCGTCTCACGTCAGCACGTTCTAGACGTGCACACGTTCTTTCCGGCAATCTTTCTTTTGCATTCACACAGCGCAGCATTCCGGCAAATTACCGGTAATCTTACAACTTCTCTTTCCGGAAAATAGCCAGAACGAATTTACCGGTATTTTCAAAAAGGGCCTGTTCACACATACACGCCTTTCCGGAAAATTGCCGGTAATTTTCCAGAAAGGTGTGTATGTGTGAAAGGGGCTATTGTTGTATTTTGTGCTTCAAAATGCACCACACATACTCTATCGAAGACAGGTTGGGACTGCGGACAGACCAGTCAAGAACCCGTATCCTCTTCTTTCGCAGACAGGACAGTAATGTGTGCAGAATGTGGGTTTGTATGGTGGATTGCATGCATTTGCATTGCATGAGGAACACATTAAATAATGTTTGTCGTATTATCTGCAATGAAAAGTCAAAGTAAATTTAGAAATCACTACTTTTTTTATTAGCATTTTTCGCACTGTCCCAACTTTTTCTGATTTGGGGTTGTACTTCTTCAACTGAGAGGCAGTATGATTGCTTTTCTTTGGTTTTATTCTGGCTTTACTTCATAATGAATTTTTTTATTTACTTCTGACAAGCAAATATGCTGTAAACATGTAATAACATAGTCAAGACAACACATTTTTAATGTGTTTTTCAAGAAAGATCACTATGATAACATAATATATGCCTTCAGTGATTTCCTAAAGATACACACCAAGAAACAACACATCTGAAATCATTACAGCAGTCGCCATCGTCATATGAAGCAAGAGATCGTGATGACATATGATGACACGTACAGGTGTTGTAGTGCTGTCCCAATTCTTAGGGGTACATTTTGAAGCCCTTCCCTTTCACACTCGGTTTTAAGGGCCAAAGGGGAATTGGGATTGGGCCTTAGATTCTTCTTCTTCTTCTTGTAATTATTTGCAAGGTCACAAGTGGTTGTGTAAGCATTTCATTGCATATTATACTATGTATGAAGAAATAAAATTTGAATTTGAATCACTGAAGTTTAGATAAAATTTTTGTTGTGTTAGTCAGGAACTAGGATCAGCCATAAAGTGAATTTCCCGTGCAAATGAAGTGAGTAAACTCTAAATGTTCAAGCGTCTAATTACATGCAAATAGCATGATTTACTCAAGATGCATCCGGTGTGAACGCCGCATTACAGATTACCATGTTTTTTTTTTGGTTCGTTTCAAATAGAATAGTCAAAATTGTTTCTTTTTTTTTTCAACGTTTGGTGCCTTATTACAGTTTATAGTCTGTTTAGGAATATTAATCTCTCTGTAGTTGTTTATTGGATCTCTGGCACTCGCAGATCTGGTGATTTGCAGAGCTAGCTGCCGGCAGATTTGCAAATCACCAGATCTGCAAGTGCCAGAGACTCAAATGCTCGGCCACTGAAGCTAAGCAGGGCTGCCCCTGGTCAGTACCTAGATGGTAGACCACATTGGAAAGCTAGGTTGCTGCCGGAAGTAGTGTTAGTGAGGCCAGCAGGGGGCGCTCAACCTGCGGTCTGTGTGGGTCCTAATGCCCCAGTATAGTGACGGGGACTCTATACTGCTCAGTGAGCACCGTCTTTCGGATGAGACGTTAAACCGAGGTCCCGACTCTTTGTGCTCATTAAAAATCCCAGGATGTCCTTTGAAAAGAGTAGGGGTTTAATCCCGGCATCCTGGCTTAATCTGCCCACTGGCCTCCGTCCATCATGGCCTCCTAACATATTGTAATTGGCCTCATCACTCTGTCTCCTCTCCACCAATCAGCTGGAGTGTGGCGTGCGGTCTGGCGCAAGGAATTATTATTATTATTATTATTGATGAAAAAGCTTTGTTTATTTTCAGAGAAGTGATCGTGATCCCGGAGCTCCTTCAATATATGCCATCAACACAGTCTCCATCGCTAATCAGGACAAATACCTGATCGTAAGTCTGTCTTAACTCACATTAACCACTGGTTTATTATCTGCCTATTATTGACTGTTTATTAGTACATAAAAAAGCACACATTCTCCATGATCTTATTCTACATTACTAATCCTACCCAAAAACTAAACCCAAATACAACATTAATAACCATTCAAAAGCAGTAATTTAGGAGTTCATTGAGGTAAAAGTCATAATTAACGTTTTTTAATAGCAAGAATTGTACAATTAAAATAAAGTGTTGCCAATATAGTTGATAAACACATACAAGGCGGAAATAATAAATATATTTTGTGCAACAGGCCTCAGCTCATGAGTGTATTGTTTTTCTCAGCTGGAGGAAGTGGACGTGGAGACGGAGTTTCTGAAAGCGGCGGATGCAGCGTGTGACGTGGCGTGTCTCATGTATGACGTCAGCGATCCCGACTCCTTCAACTACTGCGCTAGCATTTATAAAGTGAGAAAACATCCACATCTGCACAAGAACACTTTAGTCCTTGAGTCACACGGCTTACTTTTATCTTTGAAGCACATTAAAACAACAATATAGAGAAAACGTGCCCTGGTTTATGTATTTGATATTGTCGAAAATGTAGACTGTGTCCTCTAGTGGATGTTTGAAAACAGCAAGCAGACGTAGCCCAGGACATATTTTTCGGTTCTTAACAATGTAGCCCTGGGCACATATTTCTAGTGAGCCTGGATTGCATTAAATCTGAGCATCCAAATTAATTAAAATTACATAATGACCTTGCAAAAGCTAATCTTTCCCTTATGAAAATTTACTATATGTTTTATACAGTAGCATAATAATCATGTATTTTTTTGGCGTATTTGTATATCCACAAATGATTTTTGTTGTTGTTGTTTTTTAAATATGGTTACTTTTTTTGGTGAGTTATTAATTTCTGTTTGGCTAGCTTGTATTTTTAGTTCATATCTATTTATTTAAATTATTTAACGGAATTTTTAGGTATATTTAATTAATTTAATTGTTGCTACATTTCTTTAACTGAATATACAGCTAATCTATGAACTATAATATTCTATGATTATTGTAATAATTGTAACTATTGTAATAATGTTAATTGTGATATTGTTTCAGAATAATAATTTTAATAATGTTTAAGTGATATACAATCAGTTCAACTGATCAAATTAACGACTAAAGGCTGAGTTATACTTCTGCGTCAAGCGCGCGCGAATGCTGTGGTGCAGCCTACACGTGGACGCATAGTCGCTGACGCGATCCTCTCAAAAAAATTTAACTACCTGTCGCAACGACGCGTAGAACAAGCTCTGTGATTGGTCGGTTTGGTAGCGCTGACGAGTGTGGGTGGGACCGAGAGCCACGCAAGCCCAATGGAACGATTGTTTACAAGTGTGGAGTCTCGTGAAGGAGCTCCGGATGGAAAGTTTTGTTTTAGGTTTACCTAATGGTTAAAGTTGTTGCGCGTCCGCCGGTTCCTGACGAGTTTAAACCACTTGTACATTCAGGAAGCGTTCAGTAAAACAAAACACCAGAGATTAAACTCGACACAGAGGAACATAAACACCTCATTGCCAACTAGCGTTTCGGAAGTGTTAATGCAGAGCAACAGAAACAGCGCGCAGAAGTGTGAATCCACAGCTACGCGCGTTGAATGCACCGTGGGTCACGCCGATCACTTGACGCAGAAATATAAACCAGGCTTAATGATACAAAAATATCAGCTTTGCTTCTTAGAAATAAATTGCATTTTAAAATATATTAATCTGGCAAACATTTATTTTGCGTTGTAATATTATTTATTATTTTTTGTTCAGACCGTCTGTTTCAGAAATGTATGATTTCTTGAGCTCATGAGCTGTTTTTGTGTGTGTGTGTGTGCAGCAGCACTATATGGACAGCGGGATCCCGTGTGTGGTGCTGGGCTCTAAAGCTGATCTGGTGGAGGTCAAACAGCATCATGGCATGAGCCCGTCCGAGTTCTGTTACAAACATCGTCTGCCTTCACCTCTGCATTTCTCTGCGCTGCTCACACACACTCACACGCACATTTACAGCAAGCTCACCTGGGCCGCCATGTACCCGTAAGTATACACACTTCTTCTTTTTTTTTTCTATTTTAAGTTGTATACTATTATTTTCAGTCCCTTATTATACTATTTTAAGTGGCCTTAACTATTATATACTTACACTCACAATAATAATTAATTACAAAGTAATTATTGTGTAAATAATCAGCTATTAAATTCATAATTACACTGTTGACTATCCCTTACACCTTAACCCAACCTTAAACCTGCACATATCACCAAACCTGTCCTTAACCGTACCTGTATCCCACCTCTTATGGCATCAGAAGTGTTCTGCAATACATCATAAACACTAAGTATATTGTATTTATATTTTGATGTAAGGACATATAGTAGTTGAGGGCACTTAATATAAAGTTATTTTCTATTTAATTATGCAATAAAAAAGAAACAATTTAATTGTTTTATTGATGTTAATAAATGGCTATATTGCTTGTGGTTAATGTTAACCATTAACTATTGTTTAAAAAAATTGACAATGTTGGAAAGTGCAAAGCCTTTAGTATAACCAGTTAGGTTTAAATCAAAATAAAATGTTTTTTTTTTTATTATTAAATTGAATCTGCTGAAGTTTAAACAATAAAAATGGCAATAATTTAGCCATTTAATTTAATTCTCTAAATTTTATTTAAAATAATTTTAGGAAAAACAATAATTTTTGCCATTTTAATTTAAGCTGCTGAGTTTATACAACTTTAGAGAAATTAAATTGTCAGTTAAATTGATTAAGTTTAGCCAGCACTAACTGCTTCTAAAAAGGCCATTCATTTAAAACTTATATTTAATTTATTTTAGCTGCTAAGTTTAAATGAAACCACTTTAAATTATTTATAAATAAAGAATTTCAGTAATTTAATAATTAAAGCTAAACGTTTACATTTTAGCCGTTTAATTTAGAAATATTTTTATAAGTGGTTTAATTTAAATTTAAATTACTTTAAATAAAATATTATAATTTTAGCTATTTAATTTAAATTTGCTAAGTTTAAACTGCCTCAAAAAATTTTATGTATTTTTTTTTTAAGTCAAACTTTCGCATTAAATTTAATTGCTAATTGTAATTTAAATATAACATTTGCCATTTAAATTGATACTGACTGGTTTAAATGCTTTTTTTAATTACTTATTATAAGTATATCTATTTAATTTATTGGTTGAATTTAAGCTGCTAACTTTAAATAAAACTACTTTAGAGAAAATAAATTGATGTCGATTAAATTTAAGATATTTAGCCAGCAGATCTAATTTCGCATAAGCTGCTTTACAAAAAGCACATTATTTAACTGCAAAGTTTGAATCAGGATGCCCAAACTCGGTCCTGGAGGGCCGGTGTCCTGCTAAGTTTAGTTTCAACGGCAGTTAGACACACCTGAACAAGCTAATCAAGCTCCTTCTAGGTGTAATAGAAACTTTAAGAAAGTGTGTCGAAGGAACTTGGAACTACAGTTGAAGTCAGAATTATTAGCCCCCTTTTGATTTTTATTTTCTTTTTCAAATATTTCCCAAATTATTTTTAACAGAGCAATGACATTTTCATGGTATGTCTGATAATATTTTTTCTTCTGGAAAATGTCTTATTTGTTTTGTTTCGGCTAGAATAAAAGCAGTTATTAATTTCTTAAAATTTTATCCCATTTTTGGGACAAAATTATTAGCCCCTTTAAGCTATTTTTTTTTTCAATAATTTACAGAGCAAACCATCGTATACAATAATTTGCCTAATTACCCTAACCTGCCTAGTTAACCTAATTAACCTAGTTAAGCCTTTAAATGTCACTTTAAGCTGTATAGAAGTGTCTTGAAAAATATCAAGTAAAATATTATTTACTGTTATCATGACAAAGATAAAATAAATTAGTTATTAGAAATGAGTTTTTAAAACCTTTATGCTTAGAAATGTGCTGAAGCAATCTTCCCTCCATTAAACAGAAATTTTGGAAAAAAAATAAACAGGGGCGCTAATAATTCAGGGGCGCTAATAATTCTGACTTCAGCTGTATGCAGGACACCGGCCCTCCAGTTTTTTTCCAGAGTTTGGGCATCCCTGGTTTAAATGAAACCACTTCATATTATTTATAAATAATTTAAGAATTTTAGTCATTCAATAATTTTAGATAAAAGATTAAGTTGTTTAAAAATAATTTTAATAAAATAAAATAGTTTCAGTTGTTAAATTTAAAGCTGCTAAGTTTTAACTGCTTTATAAAATTATACTTTTTTTGTTCAAGTCAAACTTTGGGCATTAATTTTATGCCATTTAATTGATATGATTAAATTACTGATTTTACATGAACTGCTTCAAAAAGCACATTGATTTAAATAGGATTGTATAATTATAGCCATTTATTCAGCTGCAAAGTTTAAAGTCCCCATAAACCAGAAGCTGCGACCGCTTTTTTTTCATATTGTGATGCAGTTAATATAGAAACTGAATTTTAAATGAGAAATCAGTGGGTGTGGCTTTTTTTTCTTACTGCGAGCTGATTAGATGCTTTGAAGTAGGCATTTCATTCGGAAAGAACTGGAAATGGGTTTGGGGAGAGTTGTTACACCCTGACAGACTCCTCCTCTTCACTATTTCTGTTTTGTCAAAACTGACAGCTGAAGGGGCGTGGTTAAGTAGGTTAGCCACGCCCAATACTTCAGACAGACATAATCCGTGAATTTAACTGAAAATAAAGAGAAAGTGTGTTTTCAGATTTCAATTAAAGGTTTTAAGAACAAACTATTTATTTTTTCTTAATGACATGCACAGATGAATTTCTCATCACAAAATTAGCTATGTGAGCTAACAACATCAATATGGTTAGTTTTGATTTTAAGAGGACTTTAAACGAAACCTACAAAATTATTAATAATTAATTTTAACTGTTAAGTGTAAAGTCGCAACAAAATCATCTAAATTTTAAATAGAAAATCAGATTTTACCCAGAAAATTTTAGCCAAACTTAATCACCTAATTTAATATTTTTAAAAAATTATATTTTGTGAAATGATAATGATGTCCCACTTTTGACGTTTGACACCAAACGCTCTTTCATCTACTCCTGAATTTTATAAGCCACTCATTTCCTCAAGTAAATAATGACCTACTTAATGATTTCCCTCTGAATGTCGCGTGTCACCCATAAAATCTCCTGTGGAGTAAAATGCATTACAAACGTTGCATGTGGACTTCAAAGATCTGCAGACGCCAGACTAAAATTAGCGTGTGTGTGTTTGAGTGTGAGTGTGTGTGTGTCAAGGTCACCAGAAATACTGAGCGCATTTAAATCTCTCCCTATGTCACTTCCTGTCTGCAGGCACCTGAACGGATCAGACATGAGCAGCACGTCTTTCTGGCTTCGTGTGACTCTTGGAGCCACAATAGCGGCCATGTTGGGCTTCGCTTTGTACAGAGCCTTTAGCCGACACAAATGATGGCCGCTCTCTCGCTGTAGGTGCAGATAAACACACACTCCTCCATTTTCTGCGCTGTCTTGGCCTTACTGACTCACTGTGGCTTAACAAGGGTCCTATTAGTTACAGTGACGACAACAGAATAAGCAGATGTTTGGACTAAAGTATTACACGTCAATAAATTCCCGAGCTCACATCAGTCGAGCCCTGGAGATGTTTTTTTTTTTCCAGCACATTTTGAGGAACAATATTGAGGTTACGTTTTTGAATTGTGAGAGTTTGTGATGTGTTTATGAGCTTGGGAAATCAAGTGTATTCCATGTGAACTCGTATTCGGCTTCTGAAGCGTGTTTTCGAACGCATGCTAATTGAAGCTTGTTTCCGTATTTGCATAAAAAAGGTAATTTCAATCTTTTTATTTTACTTGCTGTTGGATATTTGCATGTCACGCAGTTTGGACTTCTGTTTTCAGAATTGAAATATTTGTCTGAGAAAGTTTTAATTTATAAAATAATCGCAATTAATCGCAAGTTTACGTCACGGTTTTGAGCGAAATGGCAAGATCACAAGATAGAAATACTGAGAACCGCAAGAAATAATGTTAGAATTGTAGGATATAAATTTAATTTACGATTGGATCTAAATTAGATTTTTAAATGGATTTAAAGTTGGATATATATATAAATCGTAGTTGTATGTTTGTATCTAAGAATTTATATTTAAAATTTTGAATTCCTTGTTTAGTAATTTTGTGAGTTTAGGGTTAGGGTCTTGCTGTTTGGAATTTCAAATTCAGAATTTATTCCAAATTGCGTGTTATATCTTGCGGTTCACAATGTACATTTTTACGTTCTGAATTTGATTAAAATTGCAAGTTTTTTATCTTGCAATTCAGAATGTAATTTGTTGCGTTCTAAATATAATTAAAATTGCAAGTTTATATCTTGCACTTCGCGATTTTCGTTTTTACGTTATTTCTCGCACTTCAGAATGTAAGTTTTTTTTTTCGGTCTGAATAAAATTAAAATTGCTTGCATTTCAGAATTTACATTTTTTATTTAATTCAAATTGTAAGTTATATCTTGCAGTTTGGAATGTAAATTTTTACGTTCTGAATTTAATTTAAATTGTAAATTATGTCTTGCAGTTCGGAATATATATTTTTACGTTCTGAATTAGGTTAAAATTGAGCATTATATCTTACATTTCAGAATGTTCATTTTTCTATGTTCTGATTTAAATTTTTACTTTCTGAATTTTATTAAATCTGCAAGTTTAAATCTCGGAGTTCAGAATGTAAATTTTTGCTTTCTGAATTTAATTAAAACTGCAAGTTTATATCTCGGAGTTCGGAATGTAAATCTTGACTTTCTGAATTTAAATAAAATTGCGAGTTTATATCTTGCAATTCGGAATGTAAATTTTTGCTTTTTAAATATAATTAAAATTGCAAGTTTATATCTTGCACTTCACAATGTACGTTTTTATGTTCTGAATTCCATTAAAATTGCTTGTTTTTTCTTGCACTTTGGAATGCAAGTTTCTTCGATCTGTATTAAATTAAAATTGCAAGTTTAAATCTTGCATTTCAGATTTACGTTTTGAATTTAATTTAAATTGCGAATTATATCTTGCAGTTCGGAATATAAATTTTTACGTTCTGAATTAGATTAAAATTGAGCATGATATCTTGCATTTCAGAATAGAAATTTGGTTTGATGTTCTGATTTAAATTTTTACCTTCTGAATTTAATTAAAACTGCAAGTTTATATCTTGGAGTTTGGAATGTACTTTACATTCTGAATTAAATTCAGATTGCGCATTATATATTGCGGTTCAGAATGTAAGTTTTTACGTTTAATAGAAAAAAAAATTCTAGAATTTTATTTTGAATTTAATTGAAGTGCGTTATATTTTTGTAGTTTAGAATATAAATTCGTACATTCTAAATAAAATTAAAATTGCACATGAAATCTTGTATTTAGAAATGTACTTTTTTTCATTCCGAACTTTATTAAAATTGCATGTTTACACTTGCAGTTTTTAATTTAAATTTTGGCATCGCAAATGTAATTAAAAGGGTGAGTTTATATCTTGCTGTTCAAAATAACAATTTTTGAATTGCGAATTTAGTTAAAATTGCAAATTAATCTAGAACTTTAGAATGTAAACCTTAAAATTCCAAATGTATTTAAAATTGCGAGTGTATATATCTTGTCGTTTATTAGTTAAATCTGTAAATTATGAGTTTATTTCTTGCAGCTTGGAAGTTAAATCATACAATTACGATATCTTGCAATTTTAAGTTTATATCCAAAAGTTCTTACATTTAAATCATGCAATTTAAATCAGAATTGTCAGAGATAAACTTCAGTAATCAGACTTGTGTTTCACACGTCAGGAATTGAGAGTTTATATCTCACAGTTCTTAATTTCTATCTGAAAGTGAAGAACAAAAGTGAAATATAAACTCCTAACTGCAAAAGGAAAGGTATAATTTATGAAATAATTGCAATTACCTTTTTTATGTTTTTAATCTGTAAAGAAAATATCAGGAAGAGGCTTCCATTGTATCTCAGCGTGGGGTCGGTTATTCAGTTTTACTTCAGCCGCTCCAGGAAATGCACTTAAATTTAATTTATAGTTCAGTTTTTCAGAATACTTGATAAACAGAGCTAAATCTAAATTATCCTTCGCTAATATTCTACAAATTTCTCCTTTGAAATGAAGTGCATCTTTTAAATCGGCTGAAATAAAACAAACAAGCATTTCCATTTCAAGTTTCTATGTGTGGACCATGACTGATAAACGTGCGGTATATGTGTGGTGTTATTTTTAAGACCATCAAAGCACAACCCATTGAGGCTTTTGAGAATGGCTAAAATCGTGCTTATCTGTTTGTCTGTATGTTGACTAGAGGACGAATGATCACTGGTTTAGTTTAAAACCGCATTAGGGCATGTGTGGTGTTTCTAAATGTATTTTAAATCGTATATTTTAAGGTCTGTTGCTTCAGACAGATTGAGTTCAGAAGCAGAACCATTACTTATTGACAGAAATAGATTATTGTTCAAACTGGATCTCAAAACTGTTACCAATTATTGAGCCTCAAATGTTTCTTTTTATTCAGAGTTTAGTTTCTGGGACTGATGAGGATAGATAGATATATGACAGCGGCTGTGCTGATTTATTGGTTTGATTATCATTATAATTCCAATATTTTGTTCAGTATTAAGGATGGTGGGCTCAACTTTAACCCCACCCCCAGGCTTGTAAATTGGTCTGCCATGCTCTTCCAGCTTCCTTAGCCAATGAGATGCCTGGAATGAAGACAGTATATGCGATAATAGGAATATTTTGTAATAAACTAGCCATTTTTTTCTGCCGATTTGTTTTCTGTGCTTTGTGACATCAACATTGTGGTTTGTATGAGGTGGTTCCCAATTATAAAATCATAATTGTACGTTTACGTCGCAATTGTGACGCTCAAAAATATTTTTACACTTATTCAAATTACTTATTTTAAATAAGCTAAAACGACAATTCTTAAGGTTTTTTTGGGACAACTTAATTGTTTTATGTTCAATCTACTTAAAATTGTAAAAACCATCAAGTTAACCTAATCGATTTACATTGAGGCGACTTTTTCATCAGATTGTGTGGAACCTACACCGTAAAATGCGAAAACTTAAATTACTTTGACTTGTTACAATTGAATGAAATAAGTTTGACAAACTTAATTTATGACACATTTCAGTAATAAATTGAGTTTCTTAAGTGTAGCAAGTTTTTGTAATTTATTTATGGCAAGTATAAGTATTGTTTGCTATTACTAGTTTGCAATACGTGTACTTGCCACAAAACATAAAAGTATTATTATTTTTATTATTATATTAACATGGGAAGGAAATTATTTGTACTGTAAAAATTTATTTTACTATTATTATATTAACAATATTAAATTGAATGAATTATGCTGTAGTGTTTGTACTTTCTTGTCCATTCTTGTTTTCTTAAATTATTAATAAAACCTAAAAGAACCCAATTAATTTATTACTGAAATCTGTTATAAATTATGTTTGTCAGTCTATGCGATAATAGGAATATTTTGTAATAAACTAGCCATTTTTTTCTGCCGATTTGTTTTCTGTGCTTTGTGACATCAACATTGTGATTTGTATGAGGTGGTTTCTAATCATCAAAATCATAATTGTACGTTTATGTCGCAATTCTGACGCTCAAAAATATTTTTGGCACTGGTTTACTTATTTAAAATTAGCTAAAACGACAATTCTTTAGTTTTTTTTGGTTGGGAACCTAATTGTTTTATGTTCAATCTACTTAAAATTGTAAAAACCATCAAGTTAACTTAATCGATTTACATTGAGACGACTTTTTTGTTAGATTGTGTGGAACCTACACCGTAAAATGCGAAAACTTACACAAATTACTTTGACGTGTTACAATTAAATGAATTAAACTTGCCAAAATTTATAACAGATTTCAATAATAAATTGAGTTACTTATTTTAAGTGTAACAAGTTTTTGTAATTTATTTATAACAAGTGTAAGTATTGTTCGCTATCAATGATGAGCAATACTTGTATTTGCTCAAAAACATTAAAGTATTATTTTTATATTAACAAGGGAAGGGAATTATTTGTACTGTATTAAAAGTACTTTTTACTATTATTATTATATTTATTATATTATATTGAATAATTTGTACTATAATGTATGTACTGTTCCATTCTTGTTTTCTAAAATAAATTACTAAAACCTGTTACACCTAAAATAACTTAACTTAATTTATTACTGAAAACTGTCATAAATTGAGTTTGTCAAACTTAATTTATTTTATTGCAACACGTCGAAGTAATTTATTTAAGCTTTCACTTTTTTACAGTGTGGGAAGTAAATTATTATTACTGTAAAAACTATTTTTACTGTTATATTATTAACAATATTAAATTGAATGAATTATGCTGTAGTGTTTGTACTTTCTTGTCCATTCTTGTTTTCTTAAATTGTTATTAAAACCTAAAAGAACTAAATTAATTTATTATGGTAATCGGTTATAAACTAAGTGTAGAACTTAATTCATTTAATTGTAACAAGTCAAAAGTAATTTGTTTAAGTTTTCACTTTTTACAGTGTAGCATTTTTTACAGTGGAGAGTAGAGGTACACTGTTAAAAATGCTCATTCTAGTTTGCGTTTAGACAACATGAAGGAATTAAGTTTACTTTTACTTACTTTTACAAATATAAGTAGATTGAACGAAACAATCTTGTCCCAAAAAAAAACTGCCTGATCTTACGAGGAAATGTAAGTATTTTATGTTTTGTCAGTTTAGTGGCTAATTCGGATGAGTTCAGTCGTACGAAAATGCACAATTTTAAAAAGGAGACATGGAATACAACTCCGCCCCTAAGCCCAAATGCCATTGGGTGATGAGCAAATCGTACTGAATTGTGCGAATGAGATCGTATGAATTTATACGAATTAGCCACTAAATCAAAAAGTTACAAATTGGCATAATATTGTGTTGGAAAGAAGTAGTCTGAACAAGCTGTAAATGTTTTTTTTTTTTTTTTTTTTTTTTTGGAGTGCAGAATTGCAAGATTAAAAAAAAAGAAGAACAGCAAGAAATCGAGTTAGAGTGGCAAGATATGAACTCAAAATTAAATAAGAAATCTGAATAGCCAAATATCAGAGTTCAGCGCTTAAATCGCTGAACAGTTTTGAATTTAAATCTAGCAGTTTGGTGTGTAAATCCTAAAATTTGGAAATTATATCTTTCTGTTTAAAATGTATATATATGGTGTGTGATTCTGAATGTAAATCTTAAAATTCAGAGTATCTAAAGTTGCGAATTTTTATCTTGCAGTTTGTAATGTACATTTAAAAAAACGTTTACTTAAGATGAAGGAATTAAGTTAACTTATTAGTTTTTACAAATTTAAGTGGATTGAACATAAAACAATTAAGTTTTCCCAAAAAACTCAACAATTGTGTTGTTTCAGCTCAATTTAAATAAGTAGCTTGAACAAACAGCCAATTTTGTTTTTTGAGTGCAAAATTGTGAGATTTTAAAAAAAGTATAAGAACGGCAAGAAATCGAGTTAGAATTGCAAGATATGAACTCGAAATTTAATAGCGAAGTATCAGAGTTCAGCGCTTAAATCAAACAGTTTTGAGTTTATATCTTGAAGTTTGGTGTGTAAATCCTAAACTTTGGAGACAATATCTTGCCATTTGAGATGTACATTTTTTTTTTTTCTAAACTTTTGAGTTTATTTAAGTTTGGAAATGAATCTTAACATTGAATCTTGAATCTTAACATTGGATTTGATTTAAAAATGTAAGAATTCTAATCTAGCAGTCTGCATGTGTGTTTTTTAATTGTGAGTGTATATCTTGCCGTTCAAAATGTAATTCTGTGTTTATTTAAAATTGTTTTGTTATTTTTATTTCTTGTGATTTTGAATGTAAATCTTAAAATTCAGTTAATGTAAAATTGTGAATTTATATCTTGCAGTTTGATTCTGTGTTTTTGTAAAAATTACATTTTATATAAAATACAATATATATATATATATATATATATATATATATATATATATATATATATATATATATATATATATATATATATATATAATTTTTGTAGTTCAAAATCTACATTTTAAAAATCCTAATTTACTTAAAATTAGCAACATTTAAATTTTTAAATTTCAAATTTATTTAAAAAAAATAGCAAGTTTATCTTGCACTTTAGAATATAATTTATTATTTAATCATGAGTTTAAATAATAGTTCAAAATGTAAGACTTAAAATTCTGTTTTTGTTTATTTATTTTTTTATTGTGAGTTTTAGTGTAATTCTAAAAATTCTGAGGTAGTTTATAATTGGGAGTTTATATCTTGAGTACATATCTGAAAAAAGTGGATCACATGATTCAGCAGAGGCCGCTGATTGGCTATATGTGTATTGGTGAGATGTTTTTTTTTTAACCATTGAATGTGACAGACAGGTCCAGGAAGATTGCAGCAGGTCCTGTTGTACACAGAGACGTATCAACTTACTTTTCAGACTGGATACAGCATCACATTTCAAGAGTGTTATGCAATATACATGAAGCGTATGAGTGATGCTTGAGGTGAGTCTGGATGCTTGATAAATACAGCAACCTATGTTAAAAATACTAGATATAATGTGTATTTACTACACAGTGAGGAGGGCAAAGCCTGACACTGGAAATGAAAATGTATTTATTTTATTAACAATTTATAAGCATTGCACTTTTTTACATGTTTTTTTATAAGATCTGTAAAGGGTTATTAACATTTTACATTCTGCACACTATTATTATTTTAGTTTAAGATTTTTAAAATAGCTTTAATCTATTTTAATTTTATCATCAAGATTTTTCTAATCGTTTTTGTTTTACTTTGCTGTAATGTTTTTGTTTTGTGTTGCATACTTTTGGTACTTTTTTAATTTTAGTATTTTAAATCAATATATGCGTGTCTTAAGAATGTAGAATTTCTAACGATGTTTTCTGTTTTATTATAATTTTGTATAGAGATTATAATAAATTAGTAAAGTCAGATAAATGTGTTTTTATTAATTTTTTTTTTTCATTTTTTTCATTATATTATTTATTTTTTATTTTTATTTTCATTTCTAGGTGTCATATTACGATTTAAAAAATCATTCGTCAATTATTGACCCATCATGTGAAAAGCGCATTTGCATTTACCCCGCGTGACACTGACAGCTGTAGTTCTTCTTTGAGGCTCTGCGGGGCAGCAGAGAGCCAAAATGCCCCTCGGAACCAAAGATGCGCTTCGTCTTCAGTTTCTCCGCACAGAGCTGGAGTTTGCGCTTTCCACACGGTGCCAGCGTCACAGCATTACCCACTTTAACTCATGATCTGTGCTCTCCATGGTGCTGCAGTAAAACACTGGACAAACTGCTGAGTTTGCAAAAAAGGAGTTTATTGATGCACAGTAGTGTGTGTTACGCACAATGACAGTATTATATTATGGACAGCAATGGAGCTAGACTACAACAGTCCACGTCACAAGGCGATTCTGTACATCGTCGTCATAGGGCACCGTTCTTCATACAAGGACGTTTTATTATTGTTCTTCACAGTCCTATAAAGACCTACATTAAGAATATATCTTCTAGAGACACGTCTAATTGGAAAGTTAATTAGCATGTCTGAAAGATGATGATGATGAAAGTGTGCAACACAGTTCATGTTTTAAAGAAAACAAAAAAGTTCAGAAACAAAAAAAAAAATAAATAACAGTTCAGCCATTTCGATGTCGAAGATCTTCTTGACAGAATCACAATGCGCGCTCACAAAAAAAGTTTCTGAAGAAACAGGCTGTAGAAATGTGCAGTTAAAGTCCGCGCACAAAGACCATACAAAAATAACAGTATTACCAAAAGAATTGCTTCAAAAAGTGTATTTACACAAGAGTTCCGAATTGAGTTCAAGTTTACTTCTTTTTGCCAGTTTTCCTGGCCGCTGTTTTGGGTTTGGGCTTCGCCGTTTTCACCTTCTTGGCTTTGCTCGCCTTGGCAGGTTTGGCCACCTTCGCCTTCTTCACAACTTTCTTGGCTTTGACGGGCGATTTCTTCTTCTCCGCTGCTTTCTTCACTTTCTTCTCCGCTGCTTTCTTGGTTTTTGCAGGAGACTTTGTCACTTTCTTTGGTTTGGGGGCTTTCTTGGGTTTGGCAGCGGCTTTGACTGGCTTCCTGGCTTTGGCGGCTGCGGGTTTGGGTTTCTCTGGCTTCTTGATGTCCTCAGCTTTGGCCAGTTTGAAGGAGCCCGACGCGCCGATGCCCTTGGTGTGGCGCAGGTCACCGCCGGCCACCAGCCGCTTCAGAGCGAGTTTGATCTGCGAGTCCGCGTTGTCGCCCACCTTGTAGTGGTGTTTCACATACTTCTGGATGGACTGACGCGACGCGCCACCGCGGCTCCGGTCGGCGGCGATGGCCGCTTTGATCATCTCTGAGTACTTGGGATGCGACGTCCCTTTCTTGGAGCTTTTCGCCCTCTTGGGCTTGGACGAGGGTGTAGCTGCCGTCTCAGCCATGGTCAGTCCTGGAAGATTTCACGAAAAAAACCGGGACTGAGCTGTCAAAAACTCTTGGCGAGTTCCTTGAGAGGGATTTCTTGGACAGCTCCGACTAAAAATAAGCAATAACGTATGAAATAACCGTCGCGTCGCTGCTTGTTCTTTGTCTATTTGCGAATTACAATATTCAAACAATAATAACCCTGACGGAGAACCCAAAGTGTGTGTATATTATTCGCCGAAGTGCGCCCGTACTATATATGAAGCCTCCACGCGGACGTGATTGAGAACACCAACTGCCAGCAGCTGATCAAGCGGGCTTCCATGAAATCTGCGCGGGCTGGTTTGTGTTTCTTCCTCCTCGATCTAAGGCCGAATTTAGCCAGGCTCGTTCGGTACCGATCGTTCCAACGCCACGGTCCGAGAGTGGAGGCTTTGGGCTTTCCGTGTGTTTGTCGCTTTACCCTCAATTCCTCCATCCATCAACTTTTTTTCCCCGAAAATCCGCTGAAACCAGCGAGCGCGGTGATGTATTTTGCAGAATTCGCGTAAAATTAGCCCAAAACAACGAAATCGAGATGGAAAACACCGAATGTTTATGAAAGCCTCATCAACGCACTAAAGGACAGGGAGGGTTTGATTCATATAAAACGTCGTTTTCGTTTTTAATAAGCCGAAATAGCTGACGAACTAACACAGTCCGGCCACAGAGTCCTCGTGACGTTTCTCCGATTATTTATTGTTAAACCTTCTATAAATTACATGTGCACGAAATAAAGTGGCTCCCACATAGTGGGTCATGTTCACACATTTCAAGAGTTGTTGGTGTCATTTATGAGCCATAGATCTGAACGAGTTCAAGGTATTAGTATATAAAGCAGCAGCTCCTATGCTGGGTGTTCTGAGAGAGGAGCTCAGCTCTAGGAAAGTTGCCAGCGACCCAAAGACCAGCTTAACCGACCAGAACCCACCGGTAGCATGGTCAGGTTATACATATTGATCTGTGTATGCATAACCAGGGGTTTGTGGGTTATATATACGATTGGCATATTAGGACTGAGCAAACTGGGCTGATGCTTTCAGCGCTCGCGCATTCTTTTGTTATCTCTCCGTTGGCTGGGAAACGCGTATCCCGTCGGCTTGTTTTCCCTCATTTTTGCGTCGTTCACTTATAAAGTCATCAATTTAGCAGAACCTGCTATTGTACAGTTATATTCCTATCGCTCCGGGTTCTCCTGTTATTCACATTTTCAGGCATGATAGTGTTTCAGTCAGAACGCCATTTTGAATCTCTTCACTTTAAGGGTTTTCTGTTCACCTAACTGAAATCCCCTTTACAGAAGTTTTAATTAGCCTACTGGATATCTATCACCAAACTGAACTTGACAAACTTGATTAATAACATTTTTTTATTCAACTTTGAGCTGAAGTTGGCGTTTAAGCGCGTGACAGTTTAACTCTTGCGCGCTGCAGTTTCTGTAAGGAATAACACAGGTATGCCATTACCTATTTCTTTTTGCTTTTATAACAGTATTATTTTATCATGTGTGGACATTTGAAGATTGCTTTTAAGGCGTATTTGGTGTCATTTTGAATTTTAACACAATGTGTCACCATACAATAATAGCCTACACACACTTCACACACCTTCTGTGAAGACTGTTTTACACGTCACCTGTCTGCGTGTGTGTGTGTTCCATGATAACGTGATACAGTCACTGATAATATATGCTTCTGTTCTCTGTCACAAGTAGTCTGCAGGTGTTGGATATTGATGGATGTATTAATAGATGACAAGAAATTATAGTCTAATACACAACAATTTTTGCATAGAGAACTATAATACAATATTCAGTGTGTTAATAAAATGTTGAAATCACTGGCTGATTCTGTAATTATGACATAATAGTGCATTATTATACAATTTTTGCATGAAAATAGAGATGTGAAATAAACTATAGGCTATTTTTAAATAGAAAATAATGAATGTTTTTTTTTTCCATTGTAGACTGCTGCTGTGAAATGTGAAAATGAAATGGCAGATCAAGTTCAACAACGATGGAGTCTGTAAGTAGCAGTCATATTATATACTTATACAGTATCGAATGTTTAAATAATCCCATTAGTACTGAAAATAACTATAGTAAATGCTTCCACATGCTGTCAAAAATTAATAAGTGAGTTTAAGCATCAAAACAACATGCAATACAAAATGATGTACATTAAAATCTGTTACTTTCAGCTTTTTTTCTGCACAAAATTAAATGGCAACCATAAATTTGTTTCTTAATTTATAGAAGACACTCACTAAAATGTAATTCAAATTATTTATATACCAAAACTCCCTGCAAAAATGTTATGATCAAGTCTTTATATATATATATATATATATATATATATATATATATATATATATATATATATATATATATATATATTATAAATTTTTTTATTATGTGTGTTATATACATGTGTATATAAAAGTGTTTTGAGAAAATGTGTATTCATAAATTAAATATTTATATCTTATATCACATTATATACACAGTCAGGTCCATAAATATTGCAACATCGACACAATTCTAACATTTCTGACTCTATACACACCAACACAAATGAACAAGATTTGCTTTAAATGCAGACTGTCAACTGTAATTAGGTATTTACATCCATTTAATGAGAGTATTTACATCCAAATCAGGTGAATGGTGTAGGAATTATAACAGTTTGCATCTTTGCCTCCCACTTGTTAAGGGGCCAAAAATATTGTGACAGAATATTACTCATAAATCAAACCTTCATTTTTTAATACTTGGTTGCAAATCCTTTGCAGTCAATTACAGCCTATATAAATACATGTATATATGTAAATATTTAGGTATTATTTATTAATATGTACACTATTTATACACAGCAAGTACACATACATAATGCAAGTGCAAAAGTTTATTTTGGATAAGATTAATTGCAATTAGTTGTTTGACAGCACACATACACACACACACACACACACACATGGCGTCAAATTATAACAGCCTTATGACTCTGATGTGTGCTATTTGTTTAATACATCATATGTTCAGCATATCTAATTCACATCTTTGATTATTTTTTCTTCTTCATAAAATTATAAATGAGCTTCTGCTTGATATTACTGCATTAAATGTCATGGAAAGGCACATTTAATACAAAAACCTGTCATTACAGGTTTGTTCTGAATCAGAAATTAGTTATTAATAGATGTAAAATGATATAAAATATGATATGATAAATGATAAACAAGTATATGATAAACAAGTTTTAAAGTCTGATTCAATCACTTTGCATGTATTTAAAGTGCTGAATAAGAGAAATGTGTGCACGCAAGTGTGGAATGTCTTTGTCTGTGAAGGTGTTTACAGAATGACGTTCATGTGTTTCACCAGCAGAGAGCAGCACTGTTCTGAGCCAATCGGCCATTACTCCTTATATAGGACATTAAATATGTCAGAAACGTGTTTTTTTTTTACTCTAATGGCTCAAATGGCTTCAATTAGTTTACTTCCACTTCATTTTTATGCAACAAAATAAAATTATAATGCACCTATGTTTTTAGGTACATTACAATATTCATTCATTCATTCATTCATTCATTCATTTTCTTGTCGGCTTAGTCCCTTTATTAATCCGGGGTCGCCACAGCGGAATGAACCGTCAACTTATCCAGCACATTTTTACGCAGCGGATGCCCTTCCAGCCGCAACCCATCTCTGGGAAACATCCACACACTCATTCACACACACACACTCATACACTACAGACAGTTTACCCAACCCAATTCACCTGTACCGCATGTCTTTGGACTGTGGGGGAAACCGGAGCACCCGGAGGAAACCCATGCGAACGCAGGGAGAACATGCAAACTCCACGCAGAAACGCCAACTGAGCTGAGGATTGAACCAGCGACCTTCTTGCAGTGAGGCGACAGCACTACCTACTGTGCCACTGCGTCCCCTAAATTAGAATATGTCCTGTTTAATAATATATATTTTTTTTTCTTTAAGCAAATAATATTGGCTTTTCCAACATGTTGTTTTACAAAATTACATTTCAGATATTATTAATAACAGGGCAGCAAGGTGGCTCAGTGGTTAGCACTGTCGCCTAACAGCAAAAAGGTTGCTGGCAGGGGTGTTGCTTGGGTTGAAAGGGATAAAGGGCTTAGCCCCAAAGAAGTCCCCATCTTATTTTTCACACTTTAATGATTCAAATATCAAACAAAGTTATATACTAGTCAAAGATAACTCAAGTGAACACATTAGGCAGTTTTAAAATGAAGATTTTTATTATTGAAGGAAAAAAAGATGCAAAACTAGCTCTGTGTGAAAAAGAATTTGCCCCCTGTTAAAAAACACACCTGAGTTTAATTTCCCAAGCCACACCTCTAGCCTGATTACTGCCACACCTGTTCGCAAACAAGAAATTACTTAAATAAGTCCTGCCTGACAAAACAAAGTAGACCAAGAGATCATCAAAAGCTGGACGTAATGCGGAAATGGAATGAAATTGAAAAACAAATGAAAATTGTGATGTTATGAAGGCTTTTTAAAGCTTTTGGACTGCTGCGAACCACAGTGTGTTCATTTATGATTTCAGGAGTATTGTAACTAACTGTTTTACACTGCAAATCCACTTGTTTGAATAACAAAGTAAGTCTCTCATATAATATATCAAAAAACAATTACAAAGTTTATTCATGTATGAATAAATAATATAAACATTTGCATATTAGTTAGTAAAATTACTGAAATTAACATAAAAACTGTATAAACATACAGTTGAAGTCAGAATTATTAGCTCTCCTGTGAATTTTCTTTTTCTAATATTTCCTAAATTATATTTAACAGAGCAAGGAATCTTTCACAGTATTTCCTATAATATTTTCCTATAATATTTTTTCTTATAATATTATTATAATATTTTTTTTTATGGAGAAAGTCTCATTTGTTTTATGTAGTGTAGAATAAAAGCAGTTTTTATTTTTTAAGGTCAGTATTATTACCCCCCTTAAGCTTTATTTTCTTTTGCTTGTCTACAGAGCAAACCATCATTATACAATGACTTGCCTAATTACCCTATCTTGCCCAATTGACCTAAATAAGTCTTTAAACGTCACTTTAGGCTGAATACTAGTATCTTAAAGAATAAAGTCAAATATTATGTGCTGTCACCATGG